GGATGCTCCTATGCCGGATAAAGACCTGACTGGCACAAGGACCCCTTTCTACCTTCTTTGTGTCTTTTGTAGGGAGGCTGAGCTGCTGCCACGAGTGCTGCTCCTCTGCACCACGCCGAGCAAGGGGGACGTGGTGAAGCAGCCTGAGAGCTCTGGCGCAGGGATGAGCAGAGTCAAACAGAGTATGGCTGTTCCCGGCTGGTCTGCCAGTCATGAAAAGAAAATCGGGCAGTGGAGTTTGGGGTTGGTGCAGCTGTAAAGAATTCATATTCCTGTGGGATCTGGAGGGAGGAGGGGGTCCTGGCTTTTCTGGGACACATGATCCACCAGTACAGACAAGCAGAGTCCGTGATCAATCCCCGTGTCACACCTAATGCTAATCAGGAACTTCCCAGACCTGTAGTCCATCTATTTTTCAGAACCCACCCCAACAGAAAGCAAGGAGCAGAACCCAGCCTGCAACGTTTCAGTGTCCTACACTAGGGCCCTGGTGTGCCTTATACCACCCAAGGGTCCTCTTCAGGCCAAGCTTTAGAGCACAGAGCCAAGCACACACCAGCCCTGCCAGTGCCTCAGCTGCAAACAAAGCTTCTGCCTCTGCAGCAACGCGTGTGAACTCGCGGCTGCGGCTGAGCGTTGGGGCTTGTCAGCTCGAACACAGCCCCACCCCGAACAGCTCTGCGGGGTCTGGGGAGCCAAGCCAGGACTCCATGTCACCCCGGTTCCTGGGTGCTCGCAGGGTCTCTGTGCAATACAGCCTAGACAAGCCCCGGGACCTTGGTGCAGTGCACCATGCAGCACTGGACAGGGATGTCCAACCCAGCTCTCCGCGAGCTACTCAAAGACTGGAAGCACTATAACCTCATCAACAGGGCTCACTCACGTGCTGCAGGTACCCCACAGGTAGCACAGTACCCCCAGATCATCAAGAGGCAGGAAAACTTTTGAGAGTTTGCCCCTTGATCCCAAGTCCCTCTCCATTGCTCCCAGTTCCAGCCATGGCTCGGTACAGTTTTCCCTTGCTTGCATACAGCTGTTCCTAAACTTCCCATATATTCTTAAATTTCAATTTATATTTTTCAACAGTGTAAATTACAAGAGCAAAATTATGTCAAGCTGGACATCCACAAAGAGCCAGAAACCACATTTAAAAACAAATACGTTATCCAATTCCCCCCCAGTCTATAAGTGTAACAACGTCGAACAAACCATAAAAACATGCCCTCCTGGCAAGGCTGGGGCTCTCTAATGCTTTAATCGCTTGTGGGGAACCGCATGTTTCATGGCAATGAAGTGCTGAACGCATTTTAAGAAACGAGTCACAGCCCTGTCCCGCAGCAGTCCAGCTGCTTGGCTTTCCGCTGCCTATTTTTGGAGCCTGCCCTCCCTGCCTTCGCTCTTCACGAGGGCTCTCCCCTCTTGCTTCCAGCAAACCCAGGCTGCGGTTTCACGGGGTTTTCCAGGAGCGCTGACTCAGGGATAAAGCTCACCCAAAGCTGTATTTTGCACAGACGTGCTCCAGCTTCCACTTCTGCTACTACATTTCAAGTGGGACAGCTGATGCGAGCCAGGGAGGGTGAGTCTCATGGGGGTGTTGGTTGGTTGGTTGTTTCTTAAAGAAAAAGCTTTAGGAACAATAATGCACTTGAAAATAACACTGATAATGTCTGATGTTGGGTTAGGGATTTGTACAAGGGAAAAAAATTGGCTTTAAAATAGAGAGTGCTGAAGGAATCAGTAAATGGAGCATTAACTTTGTATAAGCTTTCAGGGGTCCACATTTTTTAATATATGCAGAAGAAATAAACCACGGGATGTCATAGGGGCAACAGCACTCGGACAAAGGATCTCAGTAGGGGCCATTGAAGTTGGTCTATCTATACTCAGCACCAAACTGCCACGTGTACCTCTTTTTCCTGGTTAAAGGTTTCTGATGATAGCAGGGATTAGCTGCACAAAGCATCAAATCTTATTATTTCAAAGTGAACCCATGGAACCAAATGTAGGCTCGATACGTTGCTTTTTGGTACATTTCAGAGCTATGACTTTCATCTCTTCCTGCTTGAAGTTTAATTGGGTCCCTGTCCCTGGTTTTCCATTCCTCTGTCCCAGTGGTGCAGGAAAGTAAACCAAGCCCCAAGAGCAGAGAGCTTTTTATGCATGCAAGTGATCAGAAAGACACTGGCACCTATTAAAGTTTAGAGCCAGCCCAGTATGATGGCCACAGGCATGAAGCAAGTACAACAGCTCTGTGGACTTTCATGTCTAAAGCTTTGCTGACAGCATCACAGAAGAAAATGATCATTGCATTTATTTGTCAAACAAAACAAAACACAAGGCATCAAATAAGTGTGATGCTCCCAGCTGCCTGCTGCAAGCGGTTCTGAACCAAGGTTATCTTGGCCATTCTCACCCTGCTCTCCCCAGTCCCCTTCGTCAAAGGACTCTGTTACAAATCAAGACAAAACAGATTAATGCTTAATTCCAAATATTAGACCCCCCTGTGAGAAGAAAGATAAACCCCTTTCCTTTAAACTAATGACTAAGTGATCTCTTTGGGGATTAAAAGGATTTTACCACCAGGATGATAAGTGGTTTTTAGTGAAGCTGCCTTGTACTGTTGTATAAATCGTAATTAGGGAGAAGGAGGAAGCAAGGGGGTGGGGAGGGAAGGGCTGGGGAGGAACCACACTGGCCTCTCCACTTTGGGAGAGATCGGGACCGACTTACCAGGAAGGAGCACAGGAAGATGAACGACACGAAGTAGAAATAGGCAAAATCGCTGCCACATTCATTTTTGGTGAGGCCAGAGAGTGGGTCGCAGGCTCTGTTACTCAGGCACGACAGCATGATCTCGTGCCAGGCTTCCCCCGTGGCGCTCCTGCGGATGGGGAGGGCAGAGAGTGAGCTTATCCAGCCCCTTCCCCATTACAGACCCAGGGGAGCATCCACCTTGCGGTATTACTGCACCCAATAAACTAAATTAATTAGGTGGATGGTTGTGTCCAGGTAGAGAGACTATATTCACATTAGGAATTTGATCTGCCAGCCTGCTGACGTGAAAAAGAAAGGAGAAAGAATATTTCCCTTTAGTACAGAGCAGTAAAAGAAACTGAACAGGCTCATATGGGCTAAGCTTTATGGGTTTTAAGGAGAATAAAACCAGGTTGACTTAAATGTGTCCAGTGCAAATGTAAGTAAACAGAGTTCAGATTGTTCCCCTCTGAAAGCAGCTAACATTTCTGTCCTAGTGCTGGCTGTAAACCCAATGGAGATGATGGGAAATGAAACCAGGCTTCTCCTCTTGAATCTCTTATCTCTTTTATCAGGCAGATACAGAAATGGATGGTTTGGTTGGTCATAATGACTTGGGTCCCCTTTTCATGAGAGTCTCCTGGCTTTTCTTCATCATTTCCCTCCTCCCCCTCTAATTTCTACTCCTACTATAGAGAGAAAAACCGCCAAAAGGAAAAACTCTGGCATCCCAGAGTGTCTGTCCTCAAAATAAACCACCCCTGAAACGTGCACATACGGATTGGAAGCTGGGGGATCCCCGTGTTCGCTTACTCTGACTTCCTACATAGCTTCAGCTTTTCCCTCTGTGATTTCTGACCACACTCAGATGTTTTTAGGGGTGTCCCTCCACAGAGCCACGAACAGCCCACCTTGCTGCAGCGCTGTTCACAGCCATGCTAATCTGTACACAGAGCCAGCTCACAAGTCTTCCTCCTGGTCTTTGAGAAAACTTGATGCTTAATGTAACCTGAAATAGCTTCCAGGCTACTCGGAATGATAGAGCAGACTCCCCCACTGGTGGCATTGAGTCCTGAAGCCTCATTCCCTTGTACAGAAACCTGCTCCTCCATTGTGGTCCTGCTGCCTCTGCCTGCTCTGTCCCATGGCGCCTGCCACGTGGGTCTGGAAAGGGACCAAGAGGTCTGGACACGAGACTGAATAATTATCTGGTTTTATTAAAATTCAGAGTTTTGAGTCCAGTGATTATTCTGAGCTAGAGAAGACTAATTTCATTTCCGTCTGGCTTCACAGAAACTATGCAAACCAAATCCCAGGCAAGATATCCAGTTACAAGCGTCGCATAATCCGCAGAACCCAGCCTCGGCGCGGCTGGCAGGCGCTCATGGGGCCAGAGCAGTTATTAACTGCTGTGTCTCCACACATCCGGATAAGTGAAATCTTCCCCAAGCTGCCTCAATTTGGAGCAGGGCCTGCACTTCATTTTTGATGGGTCTGAAAATGAAAATCTGTCATTTCATTGATTTTTTCTTTTTTTATTTGAAAATGCTTGGTTTCCAGGCAGAATGAACCCAGATGGAAACACTTTCACTCTGAAGCAGAGGTGGCATTGACGTATGAACTGTTAACTTGCTGGTAATGCAAAAATGGCCAGTTAAAGGAATTCTCCTTTTAAAAAAAAAAGGAAAAAAAGTAAGCTTCGTGACAGAAAGCACAACGCTCAGTTAAACCAGGGGATTTCTGTCTTATATTAAGCTTCTGCCTGAGTTGACTTGGGGTGTCACTTTGTGGAGATGCTGGTGTGTTGAGTCAGATCAGTCACGTTTGGAGACCTGCCAGGCCAGCCCTTAATGCTGAGAAGGAAGGAAGCAGGAACAGATGCTTTACTCCAAACACCTTTCTTAGAGGGTGCCTAATTCTCAGCAGCTAAACTGGAATACGCAAAACCAAAGACTTATTTATCGCTCACATGCAAGCTGTACGGTGTTCTATACTCTACTTACCTGAACAGAAGCATCAGGGCCTGGAGGAAGGTACGGAAGTTATTGTGCCGATTAATGGAGGTTTCATCATCTAGCGCAATGTTTCCAAATACCTGCCACAGAAAACAGAAGCAATTCAGGCTAAACACATCCTCATGTGGACACTGCCAATAAAGGTGGATCAAGTGGAGTCGGAAGAAAAGGCAGGAAAATAATCTGTCCTGGTTTAAGGGATGTCAAAAGCTAGTATAATTTCTGTGCTGGAGAGGGAGATAAGGATATTGTGAACATCAAATTGGGAAAAAAATAGAGTTAATGTGCTTCATCTTCACACAGACCCTTTCCAACACCACAGTTCAGCTCTATCCCAGGCCAAGAAAACTTTCTCATTTCTTGTCAGAAAGGTGCAGAGCCTGAGCTTCTCGCTGCTCTCAGCCTCTTGCTATGCTCATACCCAGAGGAAGGGACGTGCCCTGCCCGCAGGGGACAGAGCTGCCCACCACCGCCTCCGGGGATGCCGAGTTGCATGCTCATCACCCGCAGCTAGTTTGCCTGTCCGCGCTCTCCCTTTGCACACCCAGGGTGACATTCCAACCCCAGACCAGGCAATAAGGGCACAAAAAGTGGCCTTTTTTTGCACTTCTGATTTACCTGACGCTGGACAAGAAGAGCCTCATCCTAGGTCAGTTGCTGATTCTGCTGTGGAGGCAATAACCCATTTACACCCTGAACCAGCAGGACAAAACCAGTGGTCAGTGGACAAACTTATGGTCAGTGTTAAAGCTAAATTTTTTACCTGCATGCCAATAATGGCATAGATGAAGAAGAGCATTGCAATGAGGAGACACACATAAGGCAAGGCCTGTGGAAAAGCAGAAGGAGGTATTAATGACAGCAAATGCATATGTCGGCCAGTAGCATTTAATTCCTGGGCAGCGTGGTGTTTTGTGGCATTTGTCCTTCAGATGAAGGAACTGTGAAGAGAACATGAACAATTCTGGCAGCCTTCAGAAGACAAACCCCTGGAGCCAGGTGTTCATTGATCACAGCACAGTCTGGGCTTTCCAAGGGCTCTCTAGACATCCTTGCAAGCAGATAAGCAGTAAGCAGGGAAAACACAGTAAGAAGCTCCAGAGCAAGCACTGGAGCTACTGGCAGGCACTAGCACTTTCTATGCATAATTCTATGAACATTAATTTTTAATGACCTTGCTGTAAAATTTAGTGCAAGAAAAAAAAAAATACATCCAAGAAGCAAGTTCCTGCTCTGAAACAGGCACAGATTGCAATCCCAAGAGGACAAAAAGATTCTGAGTTTTAGCAAGAAATCAGTGAAGGCTACAATGTAATTATGTCACCCAAGCTGAGAATAATAGCTGCTTTCCACTCAGACTAAATGAAAGGGTAATTAATGCCTCTTAATTAGTAATAACTGAATAAATGAGAAGTCTTGCCCCAGGGCTAGACCGTGTGATGCTTGAGGCAGGCGAGGGGTTACGCAGCCCTCAGGGAGACTGGTAGGAAACACAGGGCAAAGGGCTAACGTGGCTTCTGCTGGACACCTTTGCACAAGAGAAAAGGACTGAGAGCTCAGCACTGGGGGAAAGACAGACAAGCAGCTCCCCAGGCAGACCAAGAACCATCCTGGCTCTGCTTCAGGGGCAAGCACTCTGCACACACTTTGGAAAGGGTTGGGATTACACTGAAAAGGGCCTTGGCTGAGCCCCTCTCCCAAGATCCAGCCAAGACTACACAGTCCAAGGGCATTTTCCTGAGTGAGGACATCTTATACCTGCAGACCCCACATCTCAGCCTCTGTCAGGGGCTCTCCTGGCTGCAGGATTCCTCATGAGTTACAAGGCGAGAGCAGCAGCAACAACACCTTCATGCACCTTCAAGGAAAACACAACCTAACAAATCTGTAACCCCCCAAATCACAGTCACTCTCCATTAGCTGCTTGATGGTTGGGTGAAAACATAACACAAAGTTGAATGCGAGAGCACCAGCTGCCTGTCTGGTGTCTGCTGAAGGGATGTACAGTGTAAAACAACACTCGCTCCCAGCCCTGGCCATGGGATAACAGCATGGATGCCTGCAGTTCTTCTCCAGGTTGCTTGTAGTAAGAAGCAATCGCTATGTTCCACCTCCACCCTCCAAAAAAGTTTTGCCTCTATACTCTAAAAGGTCTAATAGAAGATTCCCTCTTGACCAGCTCCAGTGCAGAGCAGTACCCATGTTCATGCTGCACTGAAACCAGCTCTCCACCCTGGTTCTCTCACAGCCAGCATGGGGCAGGCCAGCACTCCCAGCCCGGTGTGGGCAGAGCCACCCAGCATCTCTCTCCAACCGCAGGAGAGCGATACCTTTCTTCTCTTGAAAAGCCTTTTCCATTTTGGAGGGAGCACACTCCTCCCCACAGTTTTATCACCTCAAACAACCTCTCTGCATTGTTTTGACCCAGACACCATGATGTATTTTAAATCACAGCTAAAGCAAAAGAAACAGGTTGTTCTGCACCCCACCACACTCTGTGCCAGTAAATACCAGTTGCCACCATTACGCCTTCCAGAAGGCACCGTGTAAAACACCCTGACATCGCACCGACCTGCAGACAAGCTCCCCTGAGCCTACAACAGCACCCAGGACAGAAGCTATCACCCAGAGACCCCAGAGCTCAGCCCAGAAGGTGGCGAGACCCTGCGCAAAGCCAGAGGGGAGGTCCCCAGTGCTCGTGCAGCGCTCAGGAGCATGGCACCCCGCCAGCAGGTGGGAGATGAAGTTTGCTGGCTGTGGCCGGGAGCTAGTGAACAGATCCATCTTTGGCTGCTCCCTGACCTTGTGCTTTGCTTTCCCACATCACCTCTCTACTTGTATTTCTCTGAAAGCCCTGCAATGTCTCTGGAGCTGGAGAGGTCAAGTGCTTTCTGGGAGAGGGTCCACGTGTGATGGGACCGGGGCTCTGCACCCTGCAGCTGCACAGCCAATAAACACTACTGCGTTAGAGCTCAGTATCAGTGCTACAAATCCTCATTTCAGATTAAATGATCACCTCTCTGCACTGCAGAACACAAGCATGCCCCACAAGCAGAGTTAAAACACCACAGGCTGTAGAAATGAGCTCCAAACCAGCTACGAGTTGTTAAAAATAACCAGCTTTTGGGCACGTGGGCTCTTACTTAGATCTGGAAAACAACTAAGTCAATGCTAAGCACAGTTTGAGAACTAAGCTGCTGTAAGGCAGTTGTTTGAGGGTCACTTAGTTCATCAGTGCCATATCCAGGTGCTGTGGCAAGTCACCCCTGTGCCACAACACAACAGCTGCCACAACATGCTGAAGCTTGCTGGAGGGAAAGGCAGGGTAAAAGAAACTGTCCCGACATTAGAACGAAAACTTGGTTTTTTACTCTTCCACATCATAAAAACACAGCCCTGTATTATACAGCTTCACAGTTTACATCACCGAAATACAATTCTACCAAGACTGACACCTGGTGAAAGCAGTTTAGCCTTACACTTGCTGCGGCAAACAGCAGGCAAGGAGGCACTTGTTAGTCAGATAACCGTTTCCTTATGCAAATACCCGAATCTCAAGACTCTGCCACAGGGATTTTGTGGTAGTTTCAAGGGCAACCTGAGCTTTGCACACTGGCTCCGAGTCTGCATCAGTAGCCACGCGGCTTTCAGATTCATCTTCCAAAACGCTCTGCACCTGCAGCGTTCAGGGTATGTTCAGTGCAAAGCAGTGAGCTTTCCTGCAGAATTAATATTCCTATAATTGCTCTGTAGAGGTGCAGAGAGACCGTTCCCTTGGCAAGGGGAAGCTCTTTGATATTCAGTGGAGGATGCTACAGATGTGCCAAGCACGACCATCTCTCCGCGTCTCCTCCCTGACTCCCACCTGCCTAACACTCACCTTAAAAGACTGCACAAACGTCCACAGCAAGATGCGGATAGTGTAACCCTGGCGAAGGAGCTTGATAAGTCTTGCTGCCCTGAAGAGCCGCAGGAAGCTGAGGTTGATGAAGTTGTCCTGCGGAAAGTAAAGGTTTTGTGTCCTTCAGAAATTAACGCGATTAGAAACCACAGCCCGCAAAAAAGAAATTAAAATTACCAGCTTCACGATCTAAGCAGCAAATCGGCCACCAGAAAACCTTCCAAAAGAAACATTCGTCAGTGCAGATCACTCCACATGCAGCAAGTATGAGAAAATCCCTCTCCACAAGAGCCCTCCCCTCTGCTACTGGGTCAATGACAGAAAAGGAAAAGGCCCTTTCACGCTGTCCATGGAGGTCTTGTTTTCTTTGAGTAGGGCAGATTTTCTCCCCCTAAAGACTCAGGGAGAGGTAATGGTGCCGTATTATCGTTTTACAAAGAGTGAGGTTGTTTTGAAGTCTTGGTCAGCTCACTTTCTACAATGAATTGAACTTAAGCCAAGACAGTTGCAAGGGACTATGTATATAGCCTCTACTATAACAAAGAAAGGCATTGTCCAGTGAAGATTAAAACATCCTTGAAAGAATGAGGATGTTTTCTAACCTGGAGGTTTTAAATGTTTATACAACATGTGACTGGACAGGCTCGTCAAGGAGAAATGGCACCAGCAAGACTGTTTGGAAGATGGATCAATGGCAGCAAATCAATCGGGGAGGTTGAGTGTTCAACAGCAGGAGGGTGTCTTAGGAACCTGCTGATTTTTTTAATCATTATTAAATGTGCCTTTGCGGGTGGATCAAAGAACTGCTGGAGACAGATTCTGATTTCCATTTGTTTTGTATGATTCTCCCCACCCCGCACCCCATTTTTTTTCTTTCCTTCAGGGAACAGAGGTTTCTTGCCCCAATGAGCTAATCTAGAGAGGGTTCTTTCCAAAACAAAACATGCAAAAGCCAGATCCCTCTTGCCCTCGTATTTTAAGGAGATGAAAACTATACCCCCTTTCCATACTGATTCCAATTCACTTATTTGTGAATCTCTGTTCACAGCCACATATTTGACTGAGTTAGCTAAAGAGAGAGAGCATCCCACTTTAAACTATCAAGCAGTGGAGTGGAAAATACAATCATAAGGAGCTCTTATTGGTAAAGATGAGCAAAAATAGTCTTTCCCTTGTATTATTGTTTTACCAGAAGATACCCAGTCATATTGAACTGACCCACATTTCTTGCTCATTTGGCCACAGAGCTCATGCTGAATTTGGGGGGCTTGTTGGATCTATTTGTTTATTTAAATGCCAGCTCAGTTTTGGGGCCATTAGCATTGCATTCCACCAATCCCATCAAAGAGTTCAAGAACTCAGTCTCAGGCATGCACTCGGTTTTTCTCATGTTAAAAACGCAAGCAGCTCAGAGTTAGGCACAGACCGTATATCAGACTCAATCCTCAAATAAAGAGAAAAGAGAAAAGCACAGGTATGTTCAATGAAAGAGCAGACAACACTGAGCTCATTCAAGTCAGCAACAGAAATCAGCTCTGGCAGGCAAAACACAAGCGAGGATTCCCCTGGGTTCTTCAAGGTCAGTAAAACAGGCGCTAAAAATTCAACGCTTGGCTCTTAGCGTCAGCTTCTGGTTTGTTTTTTCACACCACTTACGTTCCCTTCACAAACTACTGGCTGAACTCACCTTAGCAGGCAAGACCCAGAGGTCAGAGCCGGACCATGGCTGGATAAGCAGGTGCCATCGTTAACCTCGTCCTTACTAACCTGCCCGCTGCGCTGGCTGCGGCGCAGGCTGATACACCTCCGCAGAGCAGCTGCAGCGGGTCCCAGTGCAGGGCGAAGGTTTAACCCAGCGCCCATCTGAATCATGGAAAGTCTCCCTGCCAGTGGGACCTGGATCAGACCTTACGTGTAACGTTTGTGGCACTTGGGTATGGGGCCTGCAAGTCTGAGCAATTATTCCCTTCAGAGCAACGCCCAAGCCAGATCTTTCCCATGCACAAGCCTAACGCTCCTCCAAGGAGCACGTGCACAGGCAGCGCCTGCAGGATCCATCTCTCTGTGTACGAACCTGCCTTACCGCCCTCCTCCCACGCTACTGAAGCTGAACAGCACGAACATCGTTTTGCTCAGACTCTGCTATAATCTCCTCATCACAGCTGACGTGACGCTTAACATCTGCTTTGGTCTAGGCTGACCGCAAGGTCACACTCAGCCCAGGCTGTCCCTGGGCTACATGAGGCTCAATACAGGATAACCTGTAACCGTGCACCATGAAACAGGGGGCTCAAAACTGGGCAGGTACATCTCTAACCTCCCGCTCCCTGGGATTTGGAGGGACAAACAGTCCATAACCTTTTTCTTTTTTTTTATCAGCCCCAAACCCTCCCTGTTTGACTCGCGCACTGCCATTTCCTAAAGCGCAGCGCAAGCCCCAGCTCCGCAGGGAATCACTCGCAACCCAGGACAATCCACCGTCACCCACATTCACAGGCCGTTCGAAGGACCGTTCTCTGCGCTGTTTGTAGGGAGGCAAAATTACACACGCTCGTGATGGATGGAAGGGCTCCGCGTGTGTAACCCTCAGCACACCGCATAGAAAACCCGTCCTTCAACACCTCAGCTGTCCAGGCAGGTATTAGAATTGCATGCAGTTAAAGGGGAAACTCCACATTGCGATATTTCTTGTGTATAACAGTGTTTGGCATCAATTCTCCTCCCACTTAGCCACCTCTGTAACATGACGCATATATGATCACCTTCTGCATTATCAAGGGCTTGCTTTCCAGGTTTTAGTTTGCTTTTCTGTTGCACAGAGGCTCAAGGCTGACCGGTGCTCACAAGAGGCACCATTTTATGATCCACCTGAGGACTAGCAAATTTATGTTCGAAAAACATTTCCCCCCAGCCTGTCACCATTTTACTAAAAGAGGGAGCTCTGGTACTGAAGGCACCCAGGCACCCGCCAGACCCCGGGGGTCTGGGCACAGCCAGGCACAGGCACTGCTTCCCACAACAGGAGCGTGACCGAAGCTCAGCCGAGCGATGCATCCCTGGAGCAAACTGCAAAGCAGGAGGGAAATAGAGAGAACGGTTACAGTGGCTAAAGAACTGGCCTTGATTGCTGTCCCGCCACGGGCAGTCTGCTCTTTTACCCTTTCTGAGGGTGTTTTCCGTACTGAAATGTAGAAAAGCCATGAAGAACAGGGCGTACGGCCATTGCTCAGATCTGTTCCTCCAGCATGTTCAGCAGCAGAGTGGCTTCCTCCCCAACACAGGAGCTGTGGCCACTGTCCGCAGGGATGCAGAACAAGCTCCATTCTGTACACCAGTGGCAAAGCACCAGCTCAGTGGATTTAGCGTTCTGGATTTTTAAACCTGGAGCGGGAATACGAGGTTTTTATGCCGCAGCTGGACATGCTCTGCAGGATTTAGTGAAGGAGGTTACATTATGCCACCACAAAGCAATAAATTGGGCAGAAGTCGAGCTGCACATCCCCGCTTCTTCCTGCAGCCCTGCTGCAGAACACAACAACCCCCCAGAACTGAAACTTCACATTTCTGTCCTCAAAATGAAGGGCTTACCCAAAGCTGCAAAGAGCTGTGGGAAGAGGAATGTGACCAAGCCAAGAACGGGATCACTCAGGAAACTTTGCAGTTTTCTTCATCTGGCATCAACAAGACTTAACCTATTCTGCTAAGGACCTACTGTCAAGGAAAGGGTTGTGTTCCCATTTAAACGTCTGTGGCGTTGCCAGTACTGAAGAGTTCCTGAATCTTGCACAGGGTCTTGGCTTCCTCTGAAGCTTGGGGAAAACCCTTGCTGGTTTTAAAGGGCTGAAGACTTTTGCCTTGCTTGTCTGTGTCTTGGGGACTCTGCCATTACAGGCATATCATATCGTATCGTATCATCTCATATCATAGCCTTTTATCCTGAGCCAGGAACACTGGAAAAATTATTTTATATGTGATGCTCAGATCTCTCCTTGTTCCCTACTGCCTTTTAACTTCGGTGCTTCTGCTGTAGTCGCTGTAGGCTCCCATCACCAGCAGTAGAAGGAAGAAGGCAGCTCTAGAGGACAACTTGTGCTCCAAAGATCTAACTTGGATGCCTTGGGCGCCAAACGATGGAAGGAGCCTGGACCTGCACATATGACCATAGAGACTGCAATTCCATCAAACTTCAGGATGAGCATTTAAATCTGTAACCTGCAACATGGACAGTGACGAGGCCAAAATTTGGCCAAACAGAGATATGCAGGGTTTTTTTCGCTGTATTTTCATGTTCACGGCTGATACCAGAGCACTCATCTGTGCTGCCTGGGCCAGGGTGCAGTAGGCGAAGTCTCCAAAGGCATCCTCACAGCTCCCACACAGCTGTAACAGTTCCAGCCACCGCAGCACGCGCAGAGGACTCCCTTCTCAGATTGCACCAGGCAAACTTTTAACTTACACATTGTCATTTCCTTCTTTGCTGCTTCCTAGCAGAAAATTCCCTCCTGTGACCCTCCATGAAGCACGCACGGAGGTTATGCGCAGTCTGTCATGAAGATCCACGCTGATTTGTTTCTTAGCAGCAGTTGTGCAACAGTAAGTCCAGGTGTTAACACCGATCCAAGAGCTGTTGTCGGGTGGCCAAGCAAGTATTTTTGATAAGCTTCTGGTCTCATTTGAGTTATTAACCAGAGCCAAGATAATAAAGAATGGAAGAATACATGTATTTTTTAGATCATATTTTTCTTATTCACCCTCTTTTGCTTAATTTATGATCTTCAAAGACAAAGGCCAGTATTTCCAAAGGCATCTTTGCAATCAGGCACTAAATTCCCAGTGGGATTTGGTTCCCAGTTCTTTCCAGCCCTGTTCATTACATGGCTTACACATTTTACTTGAGATGTTTGCTTTTGCATCCAGGGACTCTGCGTCCACTGTGGTGGCAAAACGCTTCTTACGCTGAAGAAAGAATTTTTGAAGCTGAATAAAAATCACTCTTGCCTATGCCTTCTCTTCTGATTTGAGAGAAGCAAGCCTGTAATCACTTCAATAATTTTTTTTGCCTTACAAAACAGTGTAAACCATAGGCTTAAAATACCTGTAAGGCAGTCCTCTCAAATGTACTGCTTCCCCCTGCAGAAAGCTCAGTGCATCTCATCATAAAAGAAAACAAAACCAGATTTTGAGAACTGAATTTGGTACCACCACTTACAAAATGAAGGGTTTCCCAGCCAGCCAATCTTCTCTACTCCAGGTCATCCAGAAGCATCCTTCCCTCCTATTCTCACTCAATTTTCCACCAAAATAAAGCAAGTGTCAGTCTCCCCTTTATCATTGTCAGGTGTAACAAACAGCAGAGAACAGGCTATTGGTAACTGCGTTTGCCTCACGTCACCAATTAGCCAAGGGAAGAAGATGCAGAACAGAAGCCAGTTTTGAGGCACGCTGCAGTGAGGCTTTTTCACCAGTGCAATCGGAAATCTCATCAAAACGAATTAAATTAAAGAAAAACGAGAGAAAATAAAAGCAGAGAATTTAAATAATTGTTTAAATTCAATGAAACCAACCGTGTCCTATATGTGATGTTTTCATGGATGGATATTGGCAAGATTATTTACAAATTTATTTTTTTGAGCAGCAGGTGCACAACATACAGACGGAGACATGGTTTTCGCATTGTATGTTGATTGGATGGCGTGATTCAGCAGGTAGATAAGGAAAATAAAGAACAAAACAGGAAACAAAAGAGAAAATGAGTAATCAGGACAAGCAAAAAAGGAAACTCTGAAAATTTCACTGGAAAAAAACTGTTGGGCTTTTGGGGGTGTTATTTTATGATAATTATATAAATAAAAAATGCTTCAAACCAAAACAGATTCTGAGATCCTAAAGATAACACAGACAGTGCAGTAGTTATTTGCATTTCATTTTGTAATGCAAATTGGGAGACAATTCACAAACACTTCTCAGTATGTTTTTTATATTTCCAGGCATAGAAATGGATGTCAGTTTGCCAATACACCCATTTGGTCTCCTCGGACCGGCTGTGTCCGCAGGGAAACCTTCTCCTTAATGCCACCTATTTTGCCTCAATTACCGAGAGGGTAAAAAACTGACATACGTGGTTTTGCCTAAGGAAATAAAAAAAATATATATATTCCACTGCATTCACAAAGTAAATTACATATGACACGACTAGAAAATTAAAATAAAGCAATTAATCAACACATTTCTTTTCCTTTTATCTTTACTTTTCAGTGGGTTAAAAGTACCGATGCAGCAAGGCTGGTGGAAGCCGAGTCTCTCAAGATGAGACCGCCCAGGTGAGCAGGTTTATTTACCTTGGAGAACACTTCTAGCTGGAAAATATAGTCATGGAGAAAAGTGGTGCTCCTGCAACTATTTGTGAGCCCGATCTCAAAGTCACACCCAGACTGACAGTCGAGCTCACACTGTGGTTGTCACCTGGGCTTCTCGGCCTGAGAAAGCCCCGTGTGAATGGGTAACAACAGGGCTGAAGGCACAGCGAACGGGGGCTGACACCCACTACCCCCACGGCCGCCCATCAGCCGAGGAGAGGCTGGAGCTGAGAAAGGCAAATGGAGAAGAGGACATCCTCTGCTGGGGACACAGCTCTGAGTTGTGACGAGTGAAGACCTGCTCTCCTCTTTCGTTATTCTCAGCTCCGTAATGCGGTGCAGAGAGGTGCTGCATCCCTGGTCGTGCACCGAGCCAGAAAGCTGAAGTGGGGTTCAGCATTAGCTACGGTGTTTTGTGCAGAGTGGGTGTTCATCCCGAGCCTTAGTTAGTACTCTACCCTACCTGGAAATAAAAAGGGCAAAGAGTGGCTGGGCAGAGACAGCGGCACTAAAGATTGAGGCCATATGCCTGATCTGTGCCCTGGGAATGAGGACCTCGCCTTGGTCCCTGCTGTTTGCAAACAGCATGCTCACTACCACTGCATCAGGTTCTTCAGCCCTTTTCTACATTTTTTAATCAGTTCTAAATACCAGAAATATTTAAGTGACTTAGGTGCAACTCCAGTTTAACAAAAAGAGCAGGTTATATATCACAAAGATGGTTTAAAGTGTAACTCTTCCAGGATATCCATGCATTGTGCCACTTTCCAGGCAGCAAAACAGTCCTGGTGTTTCCCAGGCAGCTTTGGGACCTCTTGGGTTTCCCCTGATGTGCTGTGGGTAGAATAACATGTGCTGCAACCTATCACAGAGCCAACAAAACAAAACTGGAGCACAGTGCTGGGTCCTTCTGCTTGTTTTCCACCCTATGTGCCACAGACTGTCCTCAAGGCTGGAAGGGGAGGGAGGCTTGTAGCGGCAGTGGAGATACTGGTACAAGACCACCTCCACCACATGCCACTGGATGAAGCAGAATGAACTGCTCCATGAAAGGCACCCCTAAAGCTGCCGTTATTTGCTGCCGTTAACAGTCCTGTTATAAATGTAATCTTTGGGGCACCACTGCAAACCACTCGGGGAATGGAACAGCGATTCTCAGACCCGTGCGTCACTGTCACTTTTAAGCAAACTAAGCTCCTACTGCCCTTCAGCAAGCCGTGCACGATGCCTTTGAACTCAGAGCCCACTGTCCCTGCCTGAGGCTGAGACACGGATGTGTGCAGCCTGAGGAAGCGCACACCAGTGGCTACAAAAGCCGCTCCGTGCGGATGAGTGTGCTGCTGCGTGTGCTGCTGCAGACGGGCATGGGCTGGAGAGAGATCAGAGAGGAGCTGGGTGAAAGAAGTTTTGAAAAACAAGTCTAGCAAGAAGGTGGGGGGGGAACCTCTGGGCACTCTGTCTGCAGGGGAAAGGAGACGTGATGGCTGTACAGAAATGCCGCAGTTTTAGAGAGAGCACGAGCTCAAATAGGTCTGTGACTGAGACAGAGGACCCAGAGGTCAGGGGCTGGAGTGGTACTGGGGGGCATCTGCCTTTTATATTAAAGACATGTTTGTGAGCAGCTTTGACTTGGACACCCTGCCAGGGGAAGCTGTTGAACTACATTAGAAAGCCCTCTCTCAGGTTTGACTTAATGGATCTGGTTACACATAAACCAAAAGCCTCTCCATTACCACCTGGGAGGATAATGGAAAGGTGTACAGCTGCTCGGGAGCTTAACCCTACTGGAGTTTGCTGGCTGTTTTTAGAGGTAATTCATGCTGCTCTTCAAAGGCATCTCTAAATTGCTGATATCTTTGATGCTGGAAACCAGAGAAATTACTGTAGAGTGGAAGGGTGATGCCGTCACTCCCAGCACCCTGGAGGTTGTTGCATCAGTGCCTGCCAGCTCACACAAGGGTATTTGGGAGCACATTTACTCTCCAGCCCAAACTCCAAAAGAGGGGTGGGGAACCTCTGCCTCCACGCTAACTCTCCTGCCCTCAATAGTTGGCCAGCAGTGGCAAGGGACAGCATGTGCTTCCAAAAAGCTAGGGACATGCCTAAACAGCCCCAGATGTGCTGTGGCTCTGTCTGTAGTTCAGTGATGTATCACAGCCCACCCTGATCAGTCCGCAGGCAATGCCCCAGGTGCCAGACACCCTCACTGAGGCTGGGCCACCCCCGTGGGAGCTGGAGGGAGAGGCAATGGCCTGTTAACTGAGCAGGGACTGCTACCTGCCAAGCAGGGAACAGGCAACACTGATGGTTCTCTGCCTGCAAAATAGCTGTACGAAGGAGGATGCTAATAAGAAGTGTGTGGGCTTGGTGTTGTGAAGGAGACACCTTCCTGAAGGAGAAGATTCCAATCTTGGAGAGACCATGTGTGAGTTGGCTGTGCTGCTTCCTCCCAGTAAAAGTGGAAGAGAAGGGAAGGAAGGGTGGAAGTGAAGCATCAGTCTCTGTTTGTGGCTGACTTGCAAACGTTTTCACAAATTTTCAAACCAAGGCAAAAGTTTGGGTGCCCAAGTCAGGCAAGAAAGCCCACAACAGGAGTGGAGACAAGCACCCAGTGCCTGCCCACAGTGCAATAAATCTCCTAAGCACTCAGAGAAGTGTTTGTCAGACCTTGTGTTTGATCTGAGTAACTTTACCCTGGCTGCAAACTGTGCGTTGAGAGCAAAAGATAATCAAAGTCTATGAGATAGGATTCATCAACTGTTAAATGAACACCATTCATGCAGGGAGTAAAATTTGGGGGGTTTGTGTGCTCTTTCGTACCAAGGTAATAACGTATTTTGTTAGAAACAGTTATATGGTCTTCACCACCAGCTGAATGTCCTGTAAAGAAGTCTGGGGAGCATAGTTCTTAGCACACACAAAACGGATCTACAAGCAAATCCCAGGGACTGAGAAAAAAAAATATGTTAAAGTTCAAATTCATCACATACAGATACGGCATCATCAGCTAAAACATGCACTGGGAGAAGAAAGGAGCAATTTATAAATTGGATAATATCAGGCTGTCAAGGCTTGAGTTAGGCATTTGCTGCCCTTAAGGAAAAATCCTCTAGAATTTAATGGCAAGTTTGTACACTTAATGTAATCTGCAGGACTCGTGGGCACACAGACAGCAGTCGTTGCAGGGCTGGCTAACAAATCCTATGGCAAAGTTGTTTGTTTGTTTGTTTTAATAATTGTCCCACAAAGCTTTTGTGCACATAACAGAAATGCACTGTGTTCCCCCAATCCAGACCGTGCAGGGCTGATGAGTTTCTGGCCGTTTCTACATTCCCATCATCTCTCCCCTTCTCACTCCTCTTATCACCTTCACTCTGCCCCATGACCAAGACTGGGTAGGAGTCCCAAGGGACAGACGTGTGTGCGTGCCCTGCAAAGCACCTCACACTATAAAACAGCAGTCTGCAACAGAACCCTTTTGATCTTTTCCCTCTATTAAATTCAACAGGATTTTTCCATTAATAGGCAAAAATGGCTTGGGGTTAGAGTCGCTTGCTGAACGAGAGAGAAAGAGCTTGTTTCCTGGCAGAGTCACTAGCACTGTCGTTCTCATCACAGCTTTTTGCATGAAAGTCTTTGGGGCAGACAGCCGTGCTCATCTCCGTGGAAAGAGCAGAGCTAACGGAAACAGGCTGCCAGGTCACCCAAGGACATCATCACACGATGAGTCCCAGAGACAGCTCTAGGGAACAAGGCTGGTAGGGAGAAGGTGCAACGTCTTGACAGGGTACAGCTTTGTTGGTAAATGAAGCAAAATGAGCAAACTGTACTTACCGCAATCTCTGTTACTAAAATATCAGTAATACTTCCCAACACTGTTACAAAATCAAAGACATTCCAGGCATCTCGGAAATAATTCTGCCAAATGAAAACACAAGGGGGACAGAGGGATCCAGGGGTTATTTTTTTTTTTTTTTTTGCAACACAGGCTTCGTTCTTTTTTAAATGCGTGTCATAAAATACAAGCATTTTGTGTAAGAGGAAACAGTTGAAAGTAAACGAGGAAGGCACATACCAGCACACCAAAGGCAATGATCTTCAGCACACATTCCATTGAAAACATGGATGTAAACACAATATTCAGGCATTTCAACATTTCTTCATATGCTTCTGGAGCATCATAGAACTAAACCAGGATGGAAGAAAGGCTGTTACTGGAAGATCACTTACAGAATAAAACCTTCCCAGCTGACTTGCCTGACTGCAAGACTCTTGACCATTTTAGTGCCAGACTTTGTGCTCACTTTAAGCAAGACTTGGGGTTACAATATGGTTATTCACCCCACTCCAGAAGCACACCATTGCCCATATGCTATCTTAATGAGGTAGCTGGGGATACACCCAGGATAGGGAGACTGTTGCTGGTGTACATCTCCCTGTAAGCAGAGCATGGACCAGCAGGGAGGAGGGGCATTTTCAAAACCAGAGGACAAGTGCAGAATGGTGTTTCATTCCAGCAGACCCTAAGAATACGGTGACCCCTTGACAGTGAAGATGCTCTAATCCAGGCAAGGAATAGGAGAGGAGATCATCGACAATATCCAGCCATTTGCATCTCTTCCTCTTAGACCCTGGGCATCACGTCCCAGAAGCTTCACACTGCTGCAAATTTGAGTAATGTCCCTGGGATGGCTGGTTGTCAAGCATCTCCAAGAAGTGACCCTGCTCTGCAGCAGGAACCCCAGGTTGAGCTGGGAGCTCCAGACCTGCAGAGCCCAGTTCCCATCCCACTGGCCATACGCTGAAGGGGCTACGAGCCAAACCAGTGCTGTGCAGGGGAATCCCATTCGTAGTACCTCATCACAACTGAACCACCTCCCTTTGGGGACCGAAGGAATCCCACAAGGCCTCTACAACATGAGGCAGATGAGAAGTGGCGATTGCTCCTGCCAATCCCCCCAAGCTCTCTGGTCGAGAGCACAAAGCCTCTCCAGCAAACACCGCATTTGCTAGCCCGAAATTGCAAAGGTTCAATAACAGCCCACTAACCTTCATCATTAGGACAATGGTATTGAGTGCAATCATGACCATGATAAAATACTCAAAGGGAGGGGACACCACAAATTTCCACATCTTGTACTGAAAAGACTGCTTGTTCTGAGGCATGTAGCGGGTCAGCGGCTTGGCACTTATGGCGAAGTCTATGCAGGCCCTCTACAAAACAAAAACGGGATGAAAAGAATACCAAAAAAGGGCTGGCAGTCTCTATCACTCGGGATACTGTTGGGAGAGCAAGCGGAGCATTTAGTGAAGGATGGTATTTCTAAGCATTTCTCACACACGACGCAAGTATTGACTATCCCTGTAAAACGCAGCACAGGATCCCCAAATTGTAGCCACTTTTGGACACTCTCTGAAGTAGCAAACCCCACAACACTTCTATGGCCCCCGCAATCCTATGAGAGAGCCTTCCATCCCAGCCCAGCTCCTGGTACGTCCCGATCATTTTCCATTTAGGGAAAGGAGTTATAAATCCATAGGCTCACTTAAGAAAACACTCTGCCAATTCCTCCTGATATGTAACTGTAGAAACTGGAGGATTGGTAAAGATGTTATCTGGGTTTAAAAAAAAGTATTGCGAAATGCCGGTAAGTTCTTACACACAGCAAAACCTGTCCAGCTAATGACATTTCATAAAATGTGAACTGAACTTGACCAATAAATTATCCAACACGTATTACTGGGTGAACTCTCGAAGACTCCCTTAGTTGGCTATTTCTGTTCACAGTATTATGAGTATAAAACTGCATTAAAAATCGGTTTCTACCCACAAGAAGTTTTGATTCTGGAACGCTTTCTCATCTTGGATTAAGATAAGAATTCAAAGTCTTAAATTAGTGCAAAAATATTTTCTGCTCAGTTGAAAAATAACGTGGGTAAAGCATGTCTAAACATTCTGCTTTATTTTGGACTTTTTATTCATATAGACAAACAATGCACTAATTAATAATTGATTAAAAAGTCATCTCTTTTCATCAAAAATCAGTTTCCAGTTTCAACGTAAACAAAAAGAGATGGCTCCTTGCACAACAGGTCATTGAGGCTGTTGGACCCCAGATGAAGGACATTGCAGACACTAAAAATCTGCGTGGGTTCAGGATGAAAGCGGATGCATCCATGGAAGAAAGATACACAGATGCCACTAACTAAAGAAAAATCACATCCATCCAAGGAGGTTCCTGAGCTGAAAATGATGGCATTTGCTAGGCCATTAAATGGAAGCCTCATACGTGCTTGCCCTGGTCTTACACTCTTCCCAAGGCACCCACTTTTGGCTGCTATCAGGAGGACATCATCTCAGCGAGGCTCAAAACTAGGCCAAAGATTTCTGTCTCCTTTCACACCTACATGCTTGAGCTAACATGCAAGTCCATATTCACTCTGAAGCAGAGGTGTGGTCCACGGGGCCGTGTGACAGCGCTTACTAACATGCAGCATTCGGGGCCTCTCCCTGGTTTTGTTTTTATGCAAAAGCTGAAACAGTCTGTAATTCATTTGGTCTCTGCAACACACACCCTCAGGTAACGACTGCTCTAAAGCCCTCCATGGCACGGGAGGGACGAGGAGTGGGCTTCCACCAGTATCGAGGTGCTCTGAGCCCCCAGGTGCTAACTCTGGATTCAGAAGACGCGGGTACCTCGTTTTTCTCGAGGCTGCACTCTGACATCACTTTATCTCCTTGCTCTTGGAACGTGATGATGATTAACGCCACAAAGATGTTCACAAAGAAAAAAGGGAAGACAACAAAATACACCACGTAAAAGATAGACATTTCCATTCGGTAGCCAGGGCTGGGACCCTGTTCCTCGTAGGTAGCATCCACCGAGTGCTTCAGCACACTGCAATAAGCGCAAAGAGAGAAGAAAAGTCAGTGAAATCAGTGTGAAGCACCACTGACACCCTGATAGTCACTCACCAGCCTTCACTCATGTGGAGGGTTTTCCACATATGCTCAGGTCAAACTCACTCCCATCTCTACAGTTGGGAAGAAGTTTTCCTTGAGGATATTTTTAGGGAAACCCTTGCTGTTTTCACCATTCTGCAGAATGATGGAGATTTGCTACGTACAGATCCACTTATCCCCCTGGCCAAGGGGAGAGATACAGTTAGATCTGGCTTCTCTTCTCTGATCAACAGGGACGAAGTAAGGGTGGGAAAAGAAAGGTGTTGATGATCTCTGAGTAGGGGAACACAGTGAGGGACTGGAGATGGGAAACTGATGCTGTATGTTTTGTTCTTTTATTTTATGAAATAACTGAACGTGGAGGACAAGGAAGGCCTGCCATGGAGAAACCCTGACTTTGAATTGTACTCCACGTGTCCCAGCAGAAAAGTGTGCCAAAATAAAGTCATATGCTGAACAGTAAATATAATTTTGGGACTGTCATACCCAGCATACTTTCAGCATAGGTCACAATACCTTTTCCCCTCATTTTCTTACATTCCCATTATCAATTTTACACCTGAGAAAAGCGTGCAAGTCCAAAAGATTGCAGCAAGCAAGCTATTAAGTACTGAAAACTGCCCAGGCATCCCTGTGCAAACTCAGAATGTCAAGAAAAATCCAGAGCCCTGCCTGCTGATTCACCCAATAATCACACAAGGGAAAGTAAAAGCTTAGCTGATAAAAGTCTGTTCTTATTTCACAGGTCACTTGCCATTTACGTGTCCCTCAGAGCTGTGGAAACCTGTCATTACCTCTGCGATCACTGACCCTGCCAGTCCCGTGTACTCACGTTGGCCACCCTTCACCTGTGGAGACGGTGAAGAGCGTGAGCAGAGCCCAGAGCACGTTGTCGTAGTGGAACTCGTATTTTTTCCATTCCCTGGGCTGCGCCTCCACCTCATTTTTTTCATAATCAAGGTACTGACCCCTAGGAAAACCAGAGATTCAGACCAAATGGGAGAATTAAACCAAATCAGACATTTCGTATGACTCACTGAGGCATCAAAAAGCCCCAGTAGCAGAGTCTGTGCTATATATTAAAGACAAACAAAGAGACAGCTCGTAGGTTTGTAACAGAAGTAAAGGCCATTTTTTGAGCCATTTCAAGCCACAGGAACTGGACCTGAGGTCTAGAAATAAAAGAAATTGTAATCAGGGCATTCACTCACTAGGCAAAGCTGGAAATTAACAGCATGCTTGTCCCCAGATTTTCTGACCCCACAGAAAACTGTGCTGCTTGATGGGGAAAAGTCTCTGGCTCTTACTTCAGGGTTGGATCTAAGGCCTAAATGGGTCCTGTTCTGATGGGCTGAGGGACCTGGCTGTACCCCTCCAACCTACACTTTTCTGTAATTTCACATTTTTTTCTGTAATATATCTGCTTTATTGCAAGGAAGAACTGCAGCAACAGCCTCTGCGGCTGCTACATGCATGCGGTCCCACCGGCGACGTGCACTGCGTTCGTAAGGTGGCAGCAGCAGAGGGGTAACGTGGGCAGACCTGGGCAGTGCTGAGGATACGGTTTGGGTGCCAAGAAAAAAGGCGAGCGAGAAAGATGCCCACTGTGGTGAGTCAAGCACCTTGACAGTCTGCTGGAAAGGACAAAGCACGACAGGGCTCTTCAGATATTCAAATAATGACCCTTTTTCTAGCTAATTAGGAGCTCCTTAACTTCCTACCAACTCCCTTCTAATTATTTATTCGTTATGTTTTTCTAACTCGTACCAGCCCTAAGAATCAAGGCAGCAGGTAGAAAAAGGAGTCACACCGTCCCTTCAAAACCCTTTACCTTAAAATCACACCTATCCCTCCCTCGGAAAAGAAACCTGCTCCTCTGTATCACTAAGCACTTGGGTAAGTATTTGCTAGATCAGAGCCAGGAATGATGCAGCTATTAAACCAACAAAAGGGAAAATTCACCTCCAGGGTAATTGTGCTGAAACATTGCTCCTCCTTACAGGAGACTCATCAAGCTCAGCAGATACCTGGCTGATGCAGCTTTGGGACAGCCAAGGGAGCTTCTGCTGCCAGAGGAAAGTTGGACTCCCCCCACGCAGCCCCTGCCCCCAGCCGTACCTGCAGTCCTTCTCCAGCTCCTTCGACTCATCGGTGCAGTAGAAGAATCTGCCTTTGAAGAGCTGCACAGCAATGACGGCAAAAATGAACATGAAGAGCATGTAAACTATGAGGATATTGAGGACATTCTTCAGAGAATTCACCACGCAGTCAAAGACAGCCTGGGGACGGAGAAGAACAAGGTTAAGGGGCTGAAAGAGAAGAAAAGTGCATCTAACATCTTGGCATCTAACTACACTTGGGAGTAATTACCCAACGTACAACCGATGGATGGTTTCATGGACTTGCACACCAAGTGTTTGACCAAGAGTCATGCTCCAGCTGTGAGAAATAATGCTGGCTTCCTACACCTCCTGCTTTCTTGGCGAGTTTGGCTGTGTCACCGCATTTTCTGGTGCTGTCCGTAAAATTTATAAAGATGACTACAGCTCATTGAGATAAGTGTTAGTCCTAAGCAAGTATTTCCATGGACAATTATGAAATTAAAAATGCACTTGTGTTTAATTTCCTCCCAATGGATAGGTAAAACCTCATCAAATATGTTGCTCATCGACCATTATTTGAACTGTTTGAATAATAAGGAAAATATACCAGATACAAAACAATGAAATGCTCTAAATAATATTTTTTCTAATGAACTATCAAAATTAAGAGTGACTAATCTAGTCAGCATATGTCACTTCTGAACTCTCTGCAAAGAACTTCTCAAATACATTTACTATTTGGTTATTAGTCACTGATTCACCGTTACAAGTTATTTGCAGTTTAATTTTAGTCTGAGAAGTTTGTCATAATAATAGAAATTGAGCAGTTCTACTGCCCAAGCGCAGGGTTTGTACAATACCCTTCATGTTTCTCTGAATGGAAGTGAATAATTCACAAAATTACACTCCTGATGCAACCCAGAAATCCTGAATTAAAACACTGGAAATATTTCTAATAACCCCATTAATCTTGTGGATTGTTGCACACAAGACCATATCCAGGAAAAAAACCTGAAAGAATCTTGAAGACAAACCATATGAGTATGACTTCTGCTTCACATGAAGATTTCTAAACACTTCTTTAAAAGTGGTAAAATTATTCTGTACAACGGCTTGAAAATAAGGAAGACATTCAATAAAAAGCAAGCATCGGCGTCCTGCTGTAGGACTGAGCTACTGTTGACTGTTTTGAGACCAAAGATCCATACATTTCAAATTCCTAAACAAATAAAGACCATTTGCTACGTTGTTCAACATTGCTCATCTTTTGAGGTAAACTGAATAGGCATAAACCTGCATAAAATCAAAATTATTGAAGCATGAATTGTGCGCAAGGACAAAAGCGGATCTGTAACAGTTGGCCCTGATTTTTCCATGCCACTATGTGAAAACAGGAATTGTCAGACATAGTTTCACATTTGCAAAAGCACCCGTCGCTTTTTCCCCATCTTTCACAGAAAAGAGCCTGCAAGCAGTGACGTCACATGAAGATGTCCTACAATAGGTATTCAAGAGTTCCCAAAACTCAGAAATTTTTAGATTTTGTAACTCCTTCCATTCTCTGCTTCCAGGGGCCGGCTGTATCGCACAGCTTCCATGAAGTGGTGTTGAATAAGTAACCACAAGCCATTACATGTATTTTACCTTGTAAGTTAGTATTCTAGAGATGAAAGGGTACTGCCACAGAACCCTGCACTATATACTCTTTAATGCAAAAGAGGAACAGATTAAAAGCCCTCAGACAGCAATGACACCTCTCTTTAGACAGACTGTGGAAGATCTTGCAATATTCATGTTAAGTTCTCCAGGGAAAGTCAAACACTCCAAAACCTATTTTCTCCTATATAATTTCTAAGAGCATCACACTTATGAACTATAATTTAATTTATTTACATTTTTTTCTTTTCTTTTTTTAGGAGTTTGATTTTAGTGTGGATTCACAATAATTCATAATATTGCCACAATGTTTGCAAAAGAAACAAGTGTTGGACATTTGCTAAACATCTGCACAGCTATTTTTATAAACCTGGCAAAGAGATTAACTGCAACAAAATAAAAGGAACAGAAATAACTTGGATTAAGTTTAGTCCATCAGCTTCCACTCAGATCAGCTGCAAACCTCCAGAGAAGGGAAGATTTCTGATTATTCTCTAACCTTTAGTTTTGGCAGCCGTTTAATGGTCTTCAGCGGTCTTAGCACCCGCAGAACTCGCAGCGACTTGATTGTGTTGATGTCCTTGCCTTTGGTTCCTCTGCAACGGATAAAAGGCACAAGAACAACAGAGGGAATAGTTTGGTCCTCGGGTCACCGACTAGAATATCTGGAGGGACTCAGTGTGGTTTTGGCTGTGGAATTGTTTCGGGGTTTTGTTTTTTCCAGGTTTTGGGTGCCATCCTCACCACGGATGCAGCCAGGGCTAGTGAGGACTGCAGATGAACGGCCACTTGAGACGTGTTCATCACCGTACAGGAGGAAGGCTGCGGGCAGGACGTGGTCCTTGCAGCGCTCAGCCACACATGCTCTCCTGCCTTCACTCACTTCCCAGATACTCACCGAGCATCACCCAGGAACTGGTGACCTTCCTGCCCCAACTCCCCACCCAGGCAACAGTCAAAGCCAGGGCAGCAGCACACCTCGGCTGCAGCCACCAGGAGAGAAGGCTCAGTACGTTCATCCCAGCCCCAGGCAGGAGAAGTGAGAAAGTCACACTTGGCTCTCCTTCCTCCCAGGCACCCGGATGAGACAGGAGGATGTTTCTCTGCGTGCTCCTTGCACTTCTCTGGCACGGATGTCGTGTCTAGACGAGCAGAGAGGGAACTGGAGCCTTCATAGTGAGGGACAGCGCTCTCCTGGGGACCAGAGCTGCTCCATGCCTGTACCCTCATCCTCGAGTCTCTCTTGGAAGACATGCTACCAAACCCATGCGGGAACATGTAATATGACAGCATATTACATGCCTGGAACAGTGCTAGGGCAACTTCCCACTTACACATGCAGGTGCTGTAAGTCACGTTTTGGTCTTAGTTTTTGGTAAAATTGAGTGCAAGAATCGAGACCATTCCTCTTATTACCATTAAGAGGTTTTTAGGGGAAGGACAGAGTTCCTTTCCTCGTGCACTTCCAAGATAAATAAAAAAAGACAGTCACATCTTCTTCCAACCCAACAGCAAAACAATGACATTCCCCTTCATTTCATATGAAGTGAAAAATGGGATGAAAATCTTTAACAGGGTTTTATTCATGACTATAGGTTTGGGTCTGAGACTGTATTGAAGTAACACAGGTGTAAATGAGTAACATGTCAAACAGATGCTGATAAACCTATTCTATGCTCTTCCAGTTTGCTAAACATTTCCCTTCTCCAACAGGAAAGCAAAAAAGTACAAGTAACCTGAGAGACCCACAAGAGTTTTGTGCAGGCAGTGGACTGCAAAGCTTCCCCACCCTGCTACAGCCAGCCCTATGCACTGTGCTAATGGATAAGCACCAAGAGCGGAGGAAACCACCCAGTTTAGTGGCTGGCTGACCTTGCTCAGCCCTGGAAGGTGTCTTTTTGCAATCTATCCACTTGTGAAAGACTAATAACTCAGTCCTAATACTGTACTACTCAATACTAACTCTGGACTGGAATCTGCAACCTAAAAACACACATTCCTGTCTCAGCTCTGGTCTCTTTCTCTGACTACCAGTCACTGCACTTGTCCTGAAATGCAGTAAGCAGTGAGACACAAGGAATTTTTGGGAGGCTGTGGGTTGTCTCCCAATGACTTATACATTGAACACAAGTTGCCCTTGCACCTGATTTAAAAGAAATGGAGGAGAGGGAGAACAGGGTGGAGTTGTACCTATCCTCTCCCTATCTCACCCTTCAGGGCTGCTTTAGGACCGTTTTCATCAGCTGCAGATGGATCCAGACTGCTGGCACAGCGGTAAATCCAGGTGATTGAGCTAATACTCACAGAGTTACAGGACTGATATAATGCCACAAAATAACTATTATATATTTAAAAGAGATAATTTCTGATTCTCATTAGAGACCCTTTAATCTGGTTGAGATGAAACAAGACACTCCCAACACAGCTTTCACTGGCTTTCTCTTCAGGTTTTAGTGTAACTGATCCGTCCTATGTTTGGCTTTGTGTCCTTGCTTTCAACCCACCAACCCCCAGCAAGCAATGACCCTGACACAGTCACTGCAGCATCTCCTTGTCACCATAGGCTCCAGCTGAGCCAGCCAAACTGGAGCTCACCTACTCCCCAGGCAGCTTTGCCTGATCCTTAGCAATGCCCCGGCTGCAAAACAATTTGTTCCCCCTCTTGGGGAGGACAGTCAGGGGCAGGAGGGAAGTAGAAGGGAAAATATGTTACAAGGAAGGAGATATCCCGTGGCTTGGCCAGCCAGCCTGTCCCCATGGCTGACCGTCACCCAGCACATGCCCATCACCTTGGCTGCCCCTGCTGTCCCCTCGGCCCTCTCCACTCTGAAAGATCAAGTGAATCGCTCGGGTTGCTCCATGTCACCCAGCCATTTGGGTTTTAACTACATAAGGAAGCCAGGGCTGAGAGGTTGAAGAGGTAGGAGCTGAGGAAAATAAAGGTGAGCGAAGAGTAAAGGTGAGAGGGCTCAGGGACATGTAGTTGGGGCTGTAAGAGAAAGCGAAAGAAGTGGGATACCTTGGCCCAGAACCATACTAAATTCTTGCTCATGTGTGGCCACATTTCTCCTTTGCAGATCCACACACAGAGCCCAGCTTAGCAGCACAGCCACCGGCAGGCAGCAACTGAACTAATAAACCTCAACAGTCCTCACCTGGGTTCAAGCAGAACCACAGAACACCTCTGCGGGTTGTCTTCCAGCGCTCCTGACGCCAGGAGACCCAAACCCCTATTTACCAAGCTGCCATGCAGAAGTGCTAAATAACAACCGTGCTAACAAGGCCTCCTGGAAGGGAAGTTCAAGACAAGATCAGAAACGCTCCTCGGCTCTGAAGAACCTACCTTAGGTCTCACAGGGCTGGCTCCGAGCCTGAAGCAACAACCTCTGTGGCCTTAATATTTCTAAGAAGGTTAAACAGACCTGCTGGGGACTAGTGAATAGGTGGGGCAGAGCAAACCCTTCCTCCTGGGTGTACGAGAGAAGCAGCTGCTTCTCTCTCGCACGGGGGAGGCGTGCGGATGACTGCACTGAGAGCTTGGAGGTGAAGGGCAGACAGCTCCAGTCCTACAAAATTCCTTCTGCCTTAACGAAGGGCACTAAGAAGGGTTGATTATTTTTCTTCTGCTTTCAGACACCTAAGTAAATAAAGAGCATGAGCCAATTAAATGTTAATGGGATTTATGATCTAAGTTATATAGAGAATCCTGAAAAAAATCATACTTATTTCTTGTCACAGTAAGGTTCCTGGTACAGGAGAAAGATTTTTCAACAGACTGTTACCCTGAACTAGAGTGATGCAAACTGCATTTTAATTAAATGGATCTTCTGCAACTATTTCAGCCCACCAGATACAACCTTAAGGGTGGTTTTCAGTGTTTTTAAGAATCCCCTCTGCCAATATTGTCTTTTACACCACTTTAACACAAAGCCAGTTGTCCCACAAAATGAAAGGTCCAGAGGGAACTAGGATTCAGTCAAAAGCTGTAGACAGCACACATTTGACCAGAATATTCCTCACCACAAAAATAATTTGCTATGGAAGGGCTTAGGTGACTGCAGAATAACAACTACAAAATTCAGAAGAGCAAGCAGGATAAAGGCAGACAGCGAACAGAAGCCAAAACAAGACCACAAAGAAAAAAAATGCATTAGGTCAGTTCTGGTTGCATTAGGCTAGTTCCATCTTCTTCTGTGGCAGTTTGCTGCTCATTTATTTAAGACATTTAAAATATTTTAAAAGAGCTTTGCCTGGCCTTTTTTTCCTTTAATAAATAAAAGATAATTTAAAAAATTAATAGTTCTTTAAAATGGAAGCTTCTTGTTTCTGTTGCTCCTGCCAGCAGCTCTGATTTCACATAACACGGGCCTCTTAGAGTCATGTCATCAAATATTCAGAGTAGGGTGGAGTCACCGCCTTCTGCAATTGCCTGAAATCCCCAAGGTAGAAAGAGAATTCCTCCACCGAAGAGTAAACGAGGTCACACTATTCTGCCCAAGCACAAAGCCAGCCTCTTCCAGGGTCTACATGACCTGGTTTCCTAGACAGAAGAAAGAAACAAGTGCCCAGTTTCCTGGAGCACACCAAAGACCTTTCTTTGCATCCTTTTCATTGCATCTCTGGGTCATCTGCTGCAGAGGAGCCCACCTGAGCCCCTGCCCTGCTCCAAACTGCGGTGTGAGCCAATGCAGCTCTGCCTCCCCCTCCATCCTCAAAGTAAAGCACCAATGACAAAACTGCCACCTCCTTGAAGATGGTTAAATGCAACTTTTGCTACCTTCTTCTTTACAAATTGCCCCTGCCAACCTCCTGAAAAGCTCTCTACACTCTGTTCTCATGTCAAAGACTTTTCACCAATGTCAGAGGCTGCCAGCCTGAATCCCAGCTGGGTCACATTGCCCAGACTGCATAAAATTAGTCCTGAGGCTTCCAGCACTGCTAATGCAGTTTAGAGGTGCAATCCTCTGAATGAGAGTAACACTGCATCTTTAAATCCAGTTATTAAGATTTTCATTAATTGTCACTCACACATTAACGATGTTCCCTCTAAGTCATCCCCTCAAATCTTTTTGGTACACATATATTTGCTTATCATGGTTTCTGCCTCTCTGGTCTCTTGGCTTTCCAGTCTGCCTCTATCCTCCGCTTAAAGAAAATTAGGATGAATGAGGATTGTTAAGGGAAAATACATTTCACTGAATAATGAGTAATAAAGGGACAAAGGAGTCAATGCAATGGGTGTGTAACATGGTTCGTTTCCACAGTGGCAAGTGTGTGTACACAGGTTTGACAGGCATAACAGTGCAGCAAGAGACAGGAATAACATATTACCCCATGAAACTCCTAGAGAGAGATTCCAGCAAGAAGAAGACAAAGAAAGAGCAGAGTCAATGACAAACAGAAACATAAGGCTATACAGTGCACCCCATGCACATACAGATATGTGCTGGCAGATAATCCCATCCCCTGTCCCACACCCACCGGCTCCGTGTTCATAAAAATAAACAAGCAAGGAAGCAACAGATTGGCTACAGAGCATAGACCCACACATCCCCCCACGGTGCCTCAGCCCTTCAACTGACAAGCAGAGAGGGCAAATATCCCTTCAGCCTCCTGACGCTTTGGGAGGTAATAACCTTGATTGTCTGGCAAGTGCTGTTTGCTTTTTCAAAGAGCAGTGTGCAATTCTGCGCATCTCAGCCACCTTCCTGCTGTTGAAAATGTAAAAATTTAATCTCTTTGCTGCTATTCATCGTCTCTTTCTATTGAGCAAGTACATCTTACATCTGGGACTGCTAAATTTTGATGACAAATTTGCTAGCTGCTTTAAGCTCCTCTACTATTTCCCTAAAGACTAAAACATGTCTGTATGTTTGTGGCATGTTTATCTCTAGAAAAAGAAAGGAATTTATCTTTGAAATACATCGCTAAATGGAAGACACTATTTTACCATCATCACCAGTATTATTAATGTTTCTAGCATCCCACTGGGGGCCTTGGTTTTAAATTATTTTTTTTTTTAATTCCAGTCAAGCACAGAAAAGCTTCTGAAGAGCTACAGGCAGAAAGTAGACCGATAGCTGGTTTGAGAGGCTGAGATGGGTTTTATGAACCTTGCAGCAACAACTGATACCATCTCATATGCCTAAACAAACATGGGCTGTTGCAATATTCCAGATGGAAGCATTTCAGGGAGCTGTTTTTCCTGGGTTTTCAGTGACATATCTGTTCAGCAAGAAGTTGATTCACATCACCTTCACTGGACACCACTGAGGTCAAGAACATGCATGAATTAAATCACACCCTCTGAATGGCAATCTTGTGTTCTTGCAAACAGAAACCGGTAACAGCCACATTAAATACATTTTTACAGGGACACTGATGATGAGTGACAGGACTGCAGTGTTTGCTAGTAAAAGCCCACTAACAAAACAGTTTGTTCTCCAAAAGCTCATTTTCAGGACTATCAAAATTCAGCAGGCTTGGTGCATCTGTCTGGTTTAACCAAACATGCCGTTGAGCTAAGGACAGGACTATCCACTCCATTTTCAACTAAGCAGTCCCAGACTCGTTAGCATTCATGACTGAGCTAGTGGGAACAGAGCACAAGTCACCTCCCGTGAATGGCTGGACTTCCTGCTCTCAGAATACTCTGCAAGTATTCTCTGATTTGGATGTCAACACTCACTGCCTGATGAAACACAGACATGTAGCAAATCTTACAGTCATAATAAAAATCACAGAAGAAATTCAAATTTTTCCAAGTCTCAGAAGTAGGTTTGTCTCACTTTAATCTGGGAGACAGTAAATAGGCAGGCAGGTTTTATGCCTTCGCTTTCTGTAAATCCCTGCTCGATATTTACTCAAAGAGCATGTAAAATAGAAGCAGCCTGGGGCACGCTACTATGAAGCACAGTCAGGGGATGTACAAGTAATTTATTTAAAGGCTGATGAGGTGCTGTTAGACATTCATGGCCAAATACGAGTAACAAAAAACCTGAGCACAAAAAAGACTCAAAAAGACTAAAAATTATCCATTTTAATCCATAAATTGTCCAAAAGAAAATCTTGTTCAAAGAGAAGATGTTTTAAAGGGAAACCCTGATGTCTGTCTCACAGCACACAGAGTTGTTCTGAAGGGCTCACAAGGTGCCCTTTCTCCCAGTCTGCCTCGAAAGTTTGAATTCTTAATGGAAAAGGGAAATTCTCAGTGAACCACAGCTTCGGGTAACAATGTTTTGCAAACTAATACTGGTGACTAATATTATTTTACTTTTATACCTCCCTTCAATTCATAGGAGCTCTGTTAACTAAAAAGCAGCCTGGTTTTGGATGTCAAATTTTAGGTAGGCAAGACATTCACCAGCCCAGCCCAGCAATTCCATCTCAAGAAAACCTTGCTTACAACAGAGCGCTCAGCTCCTCTGAAGACAGATTTCTGATGAATAAGGACAAAGACTTTAAAGAGGAGAGGGCAGTGTCCCTTTGAAAAACTTATACTGGACATGACGTGCTCCAAGATCTAAACAATTCTTTGGTGTAGGACTGGGCACAGAAAGCCCAGACCCCAATACCCGCAAGTGTCACTCCTCAGCTGGCTCAAAAATCACACCAAGAAAGTCAATCCCATCTCCTTCTGTCTACCCACTCCTTGGTCAAATTAGCTTAGAATTTTTTTATCCAGCACTTGCTACAAAGAATAGAAGATCTAAAATATAAATCTCACAGCCTTAATGCAAAAGGAATTTTGACACCTCAGAAAATGAAAAACTCCTGAGAAATATTCCAGGCCAACCTTACCAGAAAGGTCCTGCAAGGGACATGGCAGTATTTTTCATCAGCAGAGCACGTAAGAGGAGCAACGGATATGGCTGTCTGACTAAAATTACTGTCAGTCAAAAATATACAAGACACACTTCTGCAGTTCCTTGACAAAGGTGAATGCTTTTTCTCATTAGCAAGTAAAACACTGCTAATTTCCTCGCCTTCTCTAATCATCCTGTCAACAAACAGGTGAGTGGAGTTTGGGCATGGGCTGCTAAATGTTCACTGTAATTACTCAAGGCTAATTTAGCAGAAGATTAAACTGGCCAAGTCCTGTAGCCTGTTTCCAGGTCATCTCCTAGAATTTCTCAGGAAAACATTTGCAATACTATTACTCTGTGGCCCAGAACTACACGTGGAAAATTTCTTTCCATCATCCAGCTCAGCTCCCGGGGCTCTGAAGAATTGCATTGCTCTTCCTCTGGTCTCTTCTGAGAAAAATGCTCAAATAAAAAGTTAATCTTAATTTTTAAAAAGCAATTCCCCTGTGTGTGTTGCTCAAAATCCTCTGTGATACTAAAGAAGCACAAAGAATCTGTCATAAAAAGAGAGCTGCGACCAAGGGAGGGAGCAACTAGCCTTAGAAGTGAAACTCTCCAGAAAGGCAAGTACCCTGAAGGAGACAAGAGGAGAAGAGAGAAATATCAAGGTATATGAACCAGAAATATCCATGACTCTAGAACTAAAGTTAAGTGTTCACTAAGTTATCAGCTGATTTCATTAACTATTTTTTCATAGTAAGAACAATTTTTAAAACAATTGCCTCAAGACACTGGACTGCCACACTGTTACAACGTGGCCTTGAAAAGAAATTGGCCAAACGGTCACAAAAATCTTGGCTTAATGTTTGAATGAAGAGTGAATGGACTCACCCTACAGCTGGGAGAATTGTCAGGAGATTCCACAAGACAAATACAGGTTGTTTTTTCTTCCCCCCAGCTACGAGATGATATGGGCAGAAACATTTCATTGAGAAATGAAGCCACAAAGCCTCCGCTTCAACTAGCTCTGTGCCAGGGCCCTGCCTCCTCTGCAACTTATTTCCTAGAAACTGGGATGTTAAGGAAAATGTACTTACGAGAAGGCAAATGCCACCAAGGCCCCACTGACCACAATGAAGTCCAGGATATTCCACAGGTCACGGAAGTAGGAGCCAGGGTGGAGTAACAGCCCCAAGTCAATCATCTTCAGAGGAAACACACGAAAAGAGTTTTAATGAAACAAGTACCAAATCAACACTACCAAGGTAAAGAGGAATGTCCTTGAACAAACGACCCTTCACACGCTTCTTCGGGGCTCCACAGCAGCAGGGCAACATCTAGATACTCAGCTGAGCTGCTCATCTCTAACAGGCACAGAGAGCTCTGTCAAAACCGAAGCTGAAGTCAATAAACCGTAACCAAAAGCAGGAGAGACAAGAGCACTAACTGCTACATAGGATTCTTTGCACAAACATGTATCAATTTATGGGAACAGCAGTCTGTGTGTGAAACATCCAAATAGTTTAATCCTATTTTACCCCAATCCTACCAGGACTTAACAACTGGCACAGGATATTGCACAACAAAATACAAAGCGAGGATGAGAAGACCCGCAGCCAAACGCAACAGGCAAAGAAATGCACCTGCTGTGGAGCACTTGCTGAAAGGTGCTGCTCAGCGTAGCAGCCTGGCTTGCTTCTGCATGAGACCGAGTCTCTCCTTCCAGTGCTGCTGAACGTCTTCTACAGTTAAATCTCAAAGTGCAGGCTAGACATTTTATCTGGGTTTCTGAGAGCTCTACAACTGCCCACACAAGGTTGCTTTCACCACATAGCTCCAAATCCTTCTGCTGAGCCGTCTTGGTTTTTTATTCTTCATCTCTTTTGCATCTTGCTCTGACAGTAAAAACTAACTCCATCATTACCCCAAGAATAAATCCTGACTTTACTAGAACTGTGCTTTCTGGAAAGTTACTGCCCCACAGTCTTAGCAAAACCTACCACCCTACTGAGTAAAGTAAAAAGATAAATCCTCAACTTTTTGAAACATGACAGATCAAGAATCAGTTACTATTAACACTCCTGATCAGCGTCAAAGGAAAAGGGAAGAATCAGACGTGTCCCAGTAAGGTCTATCAGCTCCTGTGTCCTTCGCCATGCGCAGACATTTCTGCATCAGGCACTCGTGTTTCTTTCCCTCTTACACACCCACAGCTACTAGAGATACCCTTATTTTCCTCCATAAAATGTGAGATTAAAGAAACTCCAAGAGGCGCTACAGAAAAGCATCTGCTGTGCACTGGCTACTTCTGAGTGCTGTTCCTGAGTTAAAGCTTTCCATCACCACCTCTCCAGGCACCCCAGGGAGCTCTGTCGTGCTCCACCCTCTTTCTCCAGCTTCTCAGAAGTAGATGAGTGTAAAACTGAAAGGGGAGGTGAACCTTTCTGCTTGGAAAAATTCTTACCTTGATCACCATCTCAAAGGTAAAGACACCCGTAAATATATAATCCAAGTATTTCAGAGCCTAAACGGGAAAGAGAAACGCGTATTAGGCGAGACTACACACTGAAATAATCTGCACATGAGCAAAGAGTAAAAAGTCTGTTCTAGCAACGGTCTATTTGCTACAATGGGTAAATATCATATAATGGGAGGCTTTCAACTAGTTTAGGCACAAATTTGAATCATCTGATTTAAACAGCAACATTTTTTCCAGTCCTTACCAGACTGCAGTATGCATGCCCGTGGGTTGCTTCACTGCACCTGCATATGTGGCAGGTTTAATAAGGCAAAATGGGTATTTCAAACCAAAATATTTTAATATCCTTTCCTAAAGAGCTTCTTTGCCAGGATCTGTGCAGCAGCCTGGGCTTCTCTTCTGCTGTAGCTGACGACAGTATTATTAAAGACCTTGGGAGAGCGAGATTGATAAAATCCTTTCTGTAAAACTGATTCCACAGTTATTAAGGATGAGGAAGAGAGATTGCTTGTAGCTACTTCAGCTCATTACTGATATAGGGATTTGTGGATCCTCCTCTGGAAAAAGCTAACACCAACCAGATTCAGAAGCAGAAGGTCAGGCCAGGCAATTCCTGCTCTGACCTGGCTTGTGCTCTGAAGCAATTCAGTTCCTTAATCTATTTAAGGGGTGGATGAACAAACTCCTCAGTGCACATCCTGGTAAATGCAATACCAGTCCATTCAAATATCTACAGATCTCCTAAATTTTAACATAATTCTGTGGACGGGACGCTGCTATTCATAAGCAGATTCATATGATTATACATAGTGAATGGATATTAAGTCAATATAAATATCACATGATATCCACATACTGCAACTATCTACACTGAAAAGTCCAAAATCAGGCAACTGCATCTTGCAATTTCTATACTTAACCTTCAGTTCTGTAGACTCCCAGTTGTCCATGTAACTAACTAGCTTTGTGCCAATGTCTTCATGTGAATGTGCTTGAAAAAAGACACCCAGCTACCTGCTCCATGAACACTCCTGGGCTTCACGCTCTCATGTAAAAGGTGGCACGCTCCTACTTCTGCTCGTAACAGCACTCACCTATGAAGTCTCCGAGTTTGGATTGATATCCATGGATACATAGATTTGCTACTAATTCTAGGAGATTGCTACCATGCCCCACCAAGACAGAAAGCCATATCTGGTTTTCCTTCCTCAGGCTCTGCTCTAGCAGGAGCAGGAGATCTTAGGACAATGTCAGCCCTGGCTTGTGACTGGAGAAGCCTTTCCCACTGCTGAATGGCGTGTAAGCTTTGCAGGCTTCTTCCATGTAAGTCACACTAGCCAACCAACCAGTGATTTCCAAGTTCTCAAACTCAGATGTGGTTGAAGCAGCAGAAAGGGACAGGACTTGTGAGCGTTTTGATAGTGGGACAAGCTAATTTGAGTAGGTTACTAAAGAAAGCTCCAGTTTTGCACTTACCAATGCACCATGTTATCATTTGGAGCTCGGAAGGACATGCCATGTGCATAACTGCTCAAGAAGCAGAAGAACTTTATTCTGGCCATGCCAGTTGGTACTCACATCATTCCTCGGTGACTCGGCTTGGACAGGGTCTTCGGCAGCCAGGGCAATGCTGCTGAGGGCTATGACTATGAGGATGACCATCTCGAAATAGCGCAGGTTGACAATGTAGTGGAACAGACGCCGAATCCTGCAAACAACAAAAGCACATAGGAGGGCTATTGCAGGTGCTGCAAGTCAAACGCAGTGGTATGAAAGACCGGCAGAAGGACAGCGGTCGTCGGGAATACCACCTTTAGGATTCCTAATAACGGTAAGAAAATAAAAATCATAATCAATGGCTTTAAACTCCAGTTTGCAACAGATCTGTGGTGAGATTTAAAGACACTTAACATCTCTGCACTGCTTTCTACCCACCCCCCCGCGAAGCAGTGACATTTATCTATCTAAAGGGCATTGAGAGCTTTCAAGCATTCGGTCTCAATTCTACAAATTATGTTTATATACTCCCCCATCCTTTTCACTTCGAACTCACAGGCTAAAGTCATGTGAGTTCAAAACCAGGTTTGAAATCTTTTTAATACTAACTAATCCCTTTAAAATTGAGATATATGCTATGCACTTTGAGACTCTTAGCTGAAAATGGCTTCGTAACTATGAGTATTACTTCTACCAATCTCTCTCTTGCCAAGTACCTCTGCCTGCCCTTTATTCTAAGATACGCTTTATAAGCTGCACAAATACTTTACAGTTATATATTTGATTACTCTAACCTAATCTTTTTTTTCACAAATTGTGTTCAAGAAAAGTGACAAATGCTTCAATTTCTAAGCAATGCAAAACTATTCACAAATTTCAGCTAATAGCTCTATCTGACTACAATTCACAAATACTTAATTGCATGGAGAACCCTACTTTTGCACCATATTTGTCAGCTGAATAAAGGACTTAGGTTCTGACTGAGAATCAAATTATATGTGTAACTTACCAACAACCTTGTTATCTGAGAATGTAATTCAGTTACTCCATCACATTTTCTCTAAGCAAATATCTGAACAGTTAGAATTAAAATTTATTCTTCACATCTACTTATACATTCCTTTTCTCTGGATTACTAATGGATTCAGAATGAAAGAGAGTTACAAATACCAAGGAAACAGATTTGGCACAAAATAACACAAAGAAAAGTGCTTTTGTGGATCCCTTAACTCCAGTTATCAATCTGACAGAAGTAGATTGTCATCTGTGTGCTCCATGAATTCGCAGAAGTGAGAGGCAGTATTTTCAATAACATTTGTAACTGTAATTCTTGCATCAAACTCGATCCATCAAGGAATTAACAAGTCCCTATTTTTAGATCTTCATCATTCATAACCAGCAGTAAGAGCATTTGTAAACTGCCAGTGATGCCTGAGAAAACATTTTAAATGCACGTCTGCTTTAAGAGGGTGGTGGTACTTGGAAAGTAACACATTTCATTTATGCTTCTCAGAACTGTTTTGCCCACTAGAAGCACCCAGGTCAAGCATCCCCAGCGGGGCTTGGGAGATAGTTAGCAATAGATGTGGCGAAAACCTTCAGACCCCAGAAAGCAGAAAGACCTCTCTTGAGAAGTTAGCACCAGCCAAAACACCTGAGGGGATCCAGCTGGGTCTGCATTTTGCCCAGAGGAAGAAAGACAAGTTGCTGACATTCCTAGAGTTTGCTCTCTGTCTTGTTATTTCCCCTCGGCCCTGAGTTACAATACGTCCCTCCCAGTGAACTTTGTTTTTTCAATGGTCTTTTAGTAGAGCTCTTGAGGGAGCGGTTGTGTGTGCTGGAGAATTCTGCAAGACAACCGAAACAACATACCAAATCCTGGACTATGAGGCTCAGAAGGTCATGACTGTAGGGCGAGGTGAGAGAAGACAAGCATATGTACAAAACAAAAGAGTCTTGCTGCTTCTCCGTCTGCCCAGTCCACTCCTCAGCTCAGACCCCTCTGGGCCTGGGACCACCAAGCTTCCCACTCTGCAATGCTGTCTTTAGCAGCCATTTCGCAGCTAACACTCATTTTTGGTGATAACTCCACAACAAAAAGGCTTGAGCTACCAAATACTAGGGAATTACCGTTTCCTTGTTCAACCAGACAGGGGCCAAGCTCCATAATTCAAATCTGACCCAGAAAGTATAATTACACTATGAGTGCTTCTCATCTAACGCTCTGTCCTCCCCTTAGCTGCCTTTTACACGAATTCAAAGGGCATATTGCCTTATTTGACACAGCACAATGCTATCACACTATTCTGAAAAGAGGAAACTTTCTGGGCTTTTGGCTTAGTTATCCTGAAGTGTCCTGAGGTCCACCTGGCAGGTGGCTGGAGAAGGCAAAGGGGAAACACAAGTGTCTCTCTTGCGGGTTTGAGACAGAAAGGGCATGTATTGAGTCTTCAGTTAATTTCCCTTGGAGAGGAGATCAGATTAGCAGTAGTTTGGGGTCGTTCTCCCTCTCTAACAGCTGGCATCAAGAGTCTCTAACATCTCCCATGGCTGAATTCCCTCTGTGCTCATAGCTGTATCATCTTGGAGCACGCAGGGCTGCAGCCTGAACTACGCAGCTGGCACTTGTGCTTAAAGAAAGTATTCAGCCTGGCTACTGTCCAGGGGTGTCACAGGACCTCACGGTCCTGAGTAGCAGGAGGTGTGGGAGCACTCATTCTTCTCTTGAACCGAGTTGCCAAAGAAAGGGCCTGAGTTCACCTCAGGTATCTGAACATGCAGAGAAGAGCCTCCGAGAGCAATATCTAGGATCTGCAGTAAGACTACCTGAGCCAGAGTGAAACCATCACACCTGCTCCTAGTGGATCTCTGGGTTGGCAGAAGTTTGAAATGCCCTCCGCTGCCCTAAGTTACTGCTTAAAATGACTCACAGGCCTTCATGCTACAATTATTACAACCTCTGCTGCTCTTGTCTAGTCCTGCAGCCATTGAGAGCAACATATTCAGTATTTACAGGCTTTGAGTACAAAGCTCCCCATGGGGTAGAGATGCCTGAAGCAGAAGAAATGCTGTAATCCCAACAGATCCCACAGGCTGTACTCTCAGCCTTAGCAAATGAAAAATATTCACATTTTCCCAGTTCAAAGTTTTCAGTGATGCGAGGGTACTAGTACAGAAAGAGCATGAATTCTGGCTGAGGAACGTGCAAGAATTTGCTGACATCAAAACCAGCCCCCAACCTGCTTCTCCTGATAATGTCTTCTCCCAGCGATAGTCCATACTCCCACCCTTTTAGTGATCTACAGCTGAGCAGGTAACTGCCCACCTGACCGTCAGCAGGGCAGTTAGGAAGGGTCTGCCTAAACCATCATCTTTTCCCTGTCCTGGCAATTTATTCCCCCAGGAAAGCCCAGCCAAAATGCAGCATCTGGTTTGCAGCCTACATAAGCTTTTATTTAATTTCCCAAGGTGTTTGACTGACAGAGATGAAGATTGCTTGGAATACCCATGCTTGAAGTACCTGTAACCCACAAGTGGTATTATAGAGTCAGAAGACTTACGGATTTGTAGGACTGAGGATAAACATGGAACTGTAAGGCAAGATTGGTTTAGGCCCATTTTTCGTCAAGTCATCGACGTCTTTCTTCTCCTCTGTTTTACTTTCAAATTCAACGTTGTTCACTGAAATGTGAATTTAAGGAAACAGAAAAGAGAGAGTTAAAAACATATCTGAAGTCTTCACACAGCAGGCTGCCTGCAACAGCTGGATATGCAAACAATGCAGCTGGGATAGCAAACAGCCTTTGAATATGTTGATTAAATGTGATGCACAATCATTTGATTATTATCACCGCTATTTACTACAGCGTGATATACACTGCAATTATACTCCTTAACTGCTGCACTGATGAGCAATATATCAGAAATGGCCAGGAAATGAAGATGCCCAGTGCAGACAAACAAAGAAACCTTACACTTATTTATACACGAGCTGCCAAACTGCGGATGGAAATCCCATTCCAAATATCATAAACTATTAGGGAGAGAGGATCAGCGAGGGATCCTTGGAAAGAAAAAAGACAGTAAGTCTAACTGACTGCATAATTCTGTATCTTCTCCCATAAATCAGTAGCATGATTGGCTTTGGAATGTGTAAAAGAACAAATTCATAGATGAGCTTTAATATTTTTGGAGCTAAGATGGCTGAACTCCCCAGCACTAGGAACAGAGATTTGGAAGGGACTTTTTGGATCCCCTTGCTCAGTGCTCGCATAGCACACCCCAGTTTTGGCCAAGATCCCCATGTATAAAGGCTCCATCTCACATCAGGTTTTTAACTTACATGATCCCCTTCTAGAAGATTGCTCTGAACCTCACTCCCAAAGGTTAGAAATACATTCTTTAATTTCCATCATAAGTTTACTTGTAGTGGGTTTAGAGGATAATTTACTTACGATAATTTCCAATATATGAGCTGGAAAACATTTTATGCTGCAAATTCTCTTCTTAGACAGATAAATACACTTGTGTACTAATTCACAAGACCTAGAATCCAAAAACCTCATCCACTTATAATGTGTTAGGTGCAGGTTTTTTATTACTTTTTATTTTGTTTTGCAACAAAGTGACATTTCATTGTGTGTGAGTGACAAGTTCAATAAACTCCTTATTGTATCTCAAGCCAGATACACAGGAAATGACCAGGAAAGAGAGGCTGATAAATTGTGATTGACAGGAATTCAGTAGTTCAATATAGTAGAATTACCATTTAAGAAAAAAAGAAGAAAGAGCGGGGGCGGGGCGGGGGGGGGGAGGAACCTAACGTGGACATCTTGGATTTTACATTGCAATTCTCCTTGGCATCCCCAGCTCTCGAGACTTCTCTAGGCTGCTCAGAACAGGCTGGGTGGCTGCAGAGTAGTCCATGGGTACAATGATCTTGGGACTATCTGCAAAACAGCGTAAATCTACACCGACAAACCCAGGGCACGGAGCTCTCAAAAAGGACAAGCTAGGGTGGATCTGCTGAAACTGAGATGCAGAGGATTGCAAGAAGCTCTAAAATTACACAGCCTGCGGGTACCCAGAGCAGCAGGGTCACACGAAGGATGCTGTGACAGCTGTGCAGCCATGAAAGACCTGCTGCTCCACAGTGGGGTCAGCTAATAAGCCAAGAAGTCTGAATTCAGTCTGTGGGCTGGAATGCAACGTCGCTGCTTCCCCTGTCCTTTGCTGGGGGGTCTGTGGCAGTCAGCCCCCTGGGACACCAGAGGAACTGTAGCACACCACTGTTGGAGCCAGCAGCACAGCAGCAGAGGAAGGTGTTAAAGCAGAGGACCTGCTCCTGTGCTCACAAGGTCTTGACTGGTTTGTTGCAGAAGTTGCTTATTTTGCTGCACAGTTACTACACTTTGCTGGTTTTCTTGTTCCTTCTTCTTTCTCTTGTGCGAAGACATATGGATGTGCTCTGGGTGAGCCATCTCCAGTGAACCTTACATGGTGTTTTCCAGAGCCACCATGTTCCCAGGTGGCCCAGGAACCCATTTTGGGTTCCTGCAGGCTGCATGAATTGTAAAGCCTATATTGACAGTAAGTTCTCCTGTGCACCTGTTGCAAGGATGCTGGTGGCCAGGAAAGCCCCCATCACCCAGTGTGTGCTGCTAGCTCCTTAGAAAGTTAGCTCTTTTCTGGCAGTTTCATAGCAAAAAGCAGGAGGACCAAAGCACTCACTTGGTATGACAGTGGTTTCCCCCGGCGGGGCAGTGATAGTGACAGGGATGTTCACAGTGGTGGTTTTGTCCAGAGGTGGCTGAATCATCCGCGTCACGTTCTTCTGGTTGTCAGCATCTTCTGGCTGCTCTGGCACTTTCTGCAGGTAAGTGCTGGGAAGGGTGTGCACAGGGACACTCACACTTCCACTCGCCTCAATCTCACACTGATTCTCCCTGAAGCAGAAAAGCAGATGTTATTAAGTAAGGCCCAAGAAGGATCCAGAGAACATATGCACCCTGATCCTGCACCTCTGGCTAGGTTTCACACACTGTTCTCTTAATGGAAGTCCTTTGCAGAAAAGTGAGACTGCAGGACAACTTACTGATAGCACAGTATGTGACCTTTTCCTCTGAGACCTTCTGAACCAACATCCAAGCGCCACATTAAGAGGAACTGTGTGACTGAACGTCATTTTATTCAGTTTAATGAGACTCAGAACTGAGGTTCATAAGCAAGGACCGCATGGCACTTGCATGTAACAGGGACATTAGCTTTCCAGCATCAGCTGGTTTCTGAATGAAGTCTGACATTCTGCTTCTTAATGTTCTCCTGAGGCCTTATTTAAATGTGGTGATTCTCTTTTCCAGTCCTAAACCATGCCGTAATGTTGCTGTGAGTGGCTAAATAGCTTCTGCATTCCTCTGCAGCAGTGGCTGTATCTCAGTGAGGAGAAAAGTGAGCTTGTGCACATGATCAAACTAAACAGCCTGCAAAGTGTTTTGAAATCCATCTGAAAGGAAGATAATATAGACAGGAAAATTATTATCTCAGTGCCACTCACAGCTCTCCATGGTGACATGAACGCTATTCTGAAGAATCCCAGTGAAATTTCTTTTCCATCAGACTAATAAAGCTGAAAAGGCAATCTATCCTTCTTTATTAACTATTCTAAATGCTTCACGAGTACTATTTTTCTCACTTGACTTACATAAGAATTAAACCAAATGGGGTACATCATTGTTTTTAATGGAAGAAGCCAAGTGCTGTAGCAACCGGTGATGCAGCTGACAAGCTTACCACAAAAAAAAACCTAAAGGGCTATAAGCAAGACTGGATGCCTTTTAAAAATATGTCCCTCAGAAACTTCCTCCAGAGGCTGTGAAATTCTCTGCTCCAAGTTATGTCCTAGAGAATCTGTTGGTATTTACATCGAAGATATATCCTCCCTTAAACCTGAGCTGTTCTATGGGCCATAGTGGACCAAAGCCACCTTTAGGATCCTCTGTCGTTACTGATTTAAGCAAAACGGAACTGCAGGTTACGGTGGCAGCTGGTGTGAGTGCAAGAAGAACAGCAGGGAACGCCATAGGCAGGGGAATAAGTAATTTCCTGAAACACATCTGGGGTCTCGTGCCCCCCAAGCTGTCCCAGGAATGTGCCTGGCCACGCAGCACTCACTTACTTGGGCTGATGATTCCGGTGCTCCTTCTCACCAGCCTCCCCCTCCTTCTCCCCGTTCTCCTTCTCCACCGAATCGTACGTCGACAGTGCCCTGTTCCTGAACCTGTGCCGTCTGTGTGGCTCTTCTCCATTCTCCCCCTTGGACCCGGGCTCTCCTTCCCGGTTCCCAGACCTCGACCCTCCCCGGTGTCGGGAACGCCGCTCGCTCCTGGCGCCGTTGATTGTCCCATTGCCCTCCTTGCCTTGCCGTTCAGCAGCGTGCCGGTGAGGCCGATGCCTACGGTGTTCCTTCTCAGCCCCTTCTTCCACCGACCCTCGGCGATGGTGCCTCTTTCCCCCCTCCTGACTCCTGTTGCGATCACTTTTCCCTTCCTTACTCCCCCCTTCCACCTCCTTGCTGCGACTCCTGTGCTGCCTGTGCCGCTCCTCCTTATTGTTGGTACCAGGTTCCCCATTCTCATCCTTGGTCACATCACCCTTCTCTTGCTCTCCCAGTTTGTCCTTATCCCGATGCCGGTGGTGCTTTCGTGGAGCTTCTGCCCCATCAGTAGAGCTGACTTTGGTCTGCTCCACCTCCTGCACGTCCACGGGGCTCAGCTTGCTGATGTTGTTCCTCCCTTCGCTCCGCGGCTCTACCACCAGCGGCCGATCCAGGTGAGTCTTCATGTCTGGCCTGATGTGAAGGGTGGTAGCGTAACGCACACGTTCCTCCGGATCCAGCTCGTTGTACAGTGCCTCGCAGCTGGCTCGGAAATTGTGCATCCGGATCTGGCTGGTCCTCTGCTCCCAAACGGACTTGGATTTGGAGGAGTTCTGCTGCTTGCTAAGGAGGGGAGTAAGGTGAAAAGTTAGTATCCAACTTTGCAGCAATTCCCTAAAATGTAACCAAAACAAAGCAAAACAAAAAATAGAGGAAATTTTCAGCTGGGATGGGGGGATTAGAGGGTTGAGCCAAAGAAAGTATAGGAATGGAGAAAGAATGGCTGGCAGAGAACGTGAGCAGGGAAAGCCAGCAGGATCATCAGTGTTAGTCTGCCCCCACGCGCGTTAAGCACTATGAAACGAGCCCTCTGGAAAGGGGTTATCTTGATTTCTAAAACGTCGCCATCCCCCTTGGAAGCGTCAGGTATAGACTGAAGGGTTAAAGTCTCTGTGCACAAAAATGGTATAGCACAGCCAGAGGTTTTAAACAGCCTACAAGCCTTCCCCACAACTAACAGCACCTTTCTCCCCACCTGGAAACATCTGGGTGAACAAATTAGTGGCAAGCAAGAGAAGTTAGATTGGCAGAAGGAGCAAGGGGAAATGAAATCTGCCCCTGAGTATCCCAGCCTGAGCACCCTGCCACCACCTCCTTCCCCTTACAGCCAGCCAGAGGGGTCACTTTCCAGGCTCCATGCCCCGTCAGCTAATGGCACAGGAGAGCTGTTGCTCTAAACCCGCGGCATCCTTCCGAGGTGAGGATGGACCATCCAGCCCAAGCATCACCAGTGTCTGGAAAAGTACAAGTAAGAAAGAAAACTGTTCTGCGTACCACAAAAAGACTTCAGGGACTGGGAGAGTCACATGTAGCTGCAGACGTGATGAGAGCACCTTTATGCCCTTGAGAGACTTGCTCTTTTCTGTCTCTGTCATCTATTAGGATGAGGATACCTCCATTGGCACTGCCTCAATGCTTTGATTTTTCGGCACAGTGCTCGGCATCTGATCGCCACAGGCAAATGGGTCACCTACCTAGCCAATGCAGGAAGGGAAGGCTTTTTTTCTTTCCTCCTAATGACTGCAAGTCAAATTCTGCTTTTGCATAAAATCAAAGTAAACCCACTGGCTTCCAGGGTGGAGTTCTGGATTTAGCCTAGTGGAAGATGAACAACCATTTTCTTCTTTAATGAAACTTCTCGCAACAAAGAGAGGAAAATCATTTTCCTTTCACTAGCCTGCTCAGATGTCTCCATTTGCCACACATGAGTCTGACCTCTGCAGCCGGAGGGGCTGCGTGGGGCTCACCGACCTCCAGCACTTAACGCAGTGCCCACAAGGGAGGCAGCCGCCTTCTCCTTACGTCCCTTCCTGGCTCCAGTGACAACCGAAGGAAGCAGCTTTTGCGTGTGCATGTGCTGATTTGGACTGTCAGGGTCTGTGGCTGCGCGCAGGCCCTGGGGACGCAGCGTTCAGACGGGCTCATGTAGCGCAGCGGGAGCTGTCGGAAAGGCTTTGCATCTCTGAGCTCTGCTGGGGGATCGGTTCGTTACACAGGGTGCTGCTGCCTGGTTCTGCTAAAGAGGCAAAAACCTACTTAAATGCTCGCTGCAGATGGGATGGGGGCACCCAGGCAGATGTGAAGGAATCGGATATAATCCATAAATCAGCGTGAGCAGAGCTAATCACCAAAACTAAAAATCTACATCCCCCATTCCCAAAAATCTCATTCTGGACTAATTTTCCAGCAGCTGAGCATCCCATTTACACCACAGCAGAAGAACGGGTGACAAAAACCACAGTTCTAAACATAAATGACACCGGAAGGTACCGGGGACATAGCTTAGAGCCCCACGTACCACAAATCCCACATCAAAGGGAGCCCAGGCTCCTCCTTAGCTGAGACCACCCCCCAAGCTGTCCTTGTGACCCCTGGCACAAGGACGAACAGGTTCATCATGGCAGGCAATAACTTGCCATTTCTTTTTGGTTCAACATTACAAAAGACTGAAACACTATCACTTATCAGCAGATTTACGTGGTTTTAGAAGGAATGAATGAGTAACACACAAAACCTTCGTTTGCCCAGACCTGACGCCCCATACGAGGATTTCCCATGAGAAGCCATATGCTCTGCATCTGCAACTCTCCACGGTCAGCAGAGATAGACACAGAGAGACGGATCTGCCTGGGACAGGCGTTCCAGGATGTCCTCTGCGTCCTCCGGGACGGACGGGGTGCCTTGCTCTGCAGTGCTCCAGATCTAGCTCTGCTAAACCAAACTGAGTCACAAAAAATGAACCTCCTCTTTAGCACACAGGCTCAGGGAAACAAGACAGCTTAAGGACGTGTATGTGCATGTCTGAGCTCCCCGAGTGCTGCCTCGGTGCAGGCCACCAAACACATTTGTTCTTAGGGGACATATCTCACTTCATAATGAAAGTCCTCAGGGTGAGGACCAGCTTCTGGTTTGTGCTTTGAACAGCCAAAGCGAGCTGTCAACACTGAACTGATAACGAGTTAGAGTTGGGAAACTGCCCTTACGCTGACTGAAACCTTCAATTTATCTACAAACCAAGAGCACAACCACCTACTTCCCATGCACCATCCTGTGGCTCCATTTTCCATGGGACAGGCACCATGCAGGGGTGGGACATAAAGCCTCAGCCTCCCTGCAGAGACTCTCCAAAGTAAAACACACAATAAATCACCAGGCAACTGTCATGGACACAACCTCTCCATCAGTGCCTGTGCTGAGCACATCAAAGCCAAAGAAAAAAAAAGCGAAGAAAATCTCCTAAATCAGACTGGATGTGGTGAGGAGGAAGGTTGAGGATGCAGGGCAGGTACTCGTCACACAGCGCAGAGGAGACACTCAGAACCTTCTAGCTCTGACACAAAATGTACCACTTCAAGAAGGGGTTTTTAGTTGTGTTTCAGTTACACCAAGAACATAAATCAGCCTTTAAATTATCCCTGAGATGTTAAAGCTTCCCCTGTACTTCGCTCATGGCTAACTGAAAGGTGCTGCCAGGTACAAACACCCCTGAGAAGCGGAAGAAACCAAGTAACGCTCGTATTAACACTAAGCCTATTTTGCTAAAATCCCTTCCTTAAAACAGACACTGACATTACAGACTCAAATTTCTCAGCATCTAGAAATGAGATGCACCCTTAACATTGACACAAGTAGCGGAGGTGATTGCCAAAAGACGACGACACACAGTCACCCACTGGCTTTGGTTACTAACAAGTTAAAGAGCAGGACGTTCAGAAGTAATGACTGCATCCTTTCTTCTTTCTACATGAAAAGACACACACGCACACAAATAAATCAGAAAATATATGAAGCACAGTAAAAACACAATCACGAAAATGTGCAGCCTGCCTGCAAGCTCATTATCATACTCAAACCAGTCAAGAACATCAGGAGTCAGTGACAGTGCACACAAAGTCTGCTGTAGGAAACGGAAGTAAAGGAAGCGAGCAGGTTGGTCCCTCTGGGGACAGGGTTTAGGGTTTTCAGAGCCAAAGGGGCAGCAACTGGAGAGAATGTGTCGTCTGCTTGTCCAATTAAATTTATCTGACTCGTTTTCTGTAAGTTCCTACAGCAACTGAACATGGACATACGTGACAGCTTCTCCTCTCCTGTTGCTCTGCTGCACTTCCTCACAGAGGAGAGCTTTTGAACTTGTTTATGGCACAACAGGAACGTTGCCTTAAAACAAAACACAGTTTCATTACAGCTCCCTGCCTATGAGGATACGGTGCCTATGCATGCCACAACATGACGAATTGCAGAAGCGATGGAAGAACATAGACAGGGCAAAATCATTTCCTCTGCTTCCTCCAGCGGTTCGTCCAGTTAATTATTGAAGGCTGCAGGAACTGGGGCTGACACAAACCATCTACGGGACAAGCCTGATATGCCGCAGCATAACGTGACTTGTCCAAACTGACAAAAAATGAGCCTTTGTGATAACAAATATTTTTCTCCACAAAAGAAAACTATCTACTTATGAAGCCAACTCCTTATCTGAAATCCTATGCACTGTTTGCTTCTTAAAATCCTTCTGAGTCCATTAAAAAAACTGCAATAATCACCTTTGCTTTACAGACACAGTACAAAGATGAACGTTAAATCACTTTCTTTACAATTACTTTCCATTCCTCTTTTCTGTCTACAGAATATTTCAAACTCTTTAAAGGGTACTGGCAATATACTCTGTTTTCAGGTCCCCTAGGCTTGAAATGTTGTAGTAGATACTACTGCTAGTATGCTTCTCTCAGTAGCTCCACTGGTTTTGGATTAAGAAGCCAGCAAACAACTCCTGCCTGTGGCTAGAAAGAAAACCATACAATTCCTGTAGAATCAACTCTAATTCATATTAATGAATCAGTGACTAATATGGGTATAAATAAAAAATGCAACAAGTCACTGTGTAGATTGTTCAAGAAAAGAAAGCATATTTTTAGTCATATTCTAATCTTCCGGTTTTCCTTAATGATTAAAGATTTTGTTACCACAACCTTTTAAAACGCTGCTTCAGTTAATGGCACTTTGCTTCCCAGAACTACTGGTTTAATCAGCTACATAAATGCAATCCGTAAAATTTTGCATTAGTAAATAATGAATGAAAGCTGACTATGAATATAATAATTTGATGTTA